CATTAATACTACTACTAAGGCCTACTATTTTTTTAATAGGAACGTACGCACATCATTATTCGATTTTGCTTTGCCATCTCACATTGATTGTATTTATCGTACTCAGTAGCGGATCTAGGAGGGAGGGGTGCAATCTACTGTTATGGTATTAGTCACATGGAGCCAAAAAATAATAATAGATCGAATGCTTAATTTCCAACATATATTCTCAAATTGCCTTAGAATGCGAAGGAATCATATGATTTGCCTTCTGAAAACCTTCACTTGTTTGCCAACTTGAATAAATGCCGTAATGTCCTCAGACGCAGTTTGTTTGTTTTATTGTATTCTTTGATCATGTGATAGAAGTTTTAATTTGTACTTTGAACTTTGGTTTTGCAGTGACACAATTTTTTTTTTGGCCATATATAGGACATTTTATATCTGTATCCCCTATGTAACTAATAACTTTGCTGTCTTGTTAATTGTTTTGATGATTTTGTTTGTTATCTGACACACAGATTTCAGTCTGAGACAAAACTTAGGTATGTCAATTTGAATTTTTTTTAAGGCCTAATAAAGTCTAAAAATATAAAGGGGAACATTCTATGTTCAAAGATGAATAAACGAGCTGCTAACCTTTGTGAATGGCATACAACATGACGTGTGACGCCAAGTACATGTATTCATGAGATGTGCGAATACGACTCGCGGTGTATTTACGAACATTCTTGCTGTGGTAACATGAGCTTATAGCACCACTGATACTGGCGACAAGTTTTGACAGGTATACTATCGTTTTATTTTATTTTCCGTACGTGATTCAGGAATATAAACAATTTACTAGGTAACAGAAGAACATCAATAATATTTTTGATTTTTATTTTTAAATCAAACTCCAACACCACACCTTTTATCTATATTTTTCTATTTTTGTTTAATATCTTTTTATTTTTGCTGGGAATTGATACTGCAGCTGCATATGTATGCCTCTAGATAGTAAAATGTACTATTTATTGTTATTTCTTTGCAACTTCTAACTTTATATTTTCAGAGGTCATATATTATTATAATGTTATAATCTGACCAGGTGGTAATATAGGTACAGTTTCAAAGAAGCAAATATTTTTTTTTTCCAAATGCTGTACATTGGGGCTGAACACCATCTTCCCATTGGAGCACTGTTCAAAACGTGGCTACATTTAGGCCATGGCTGCATTAGACCATGGTTAGACAATAACCACTACCGTTATTTGCTTTTCAAGGGACGTTAAAGTAAACAACCACTCACGAAAAAAAATCATATGTGGCTGTGCTTTTCTCGAATGCCAAATTGTCAGTGTGGGGGGCCGACTGGGGGCGGACTTTTTACCCACCCCCCCCCCCCCCCGCCTGCCCCCGTAGCTACGCCGCTGCTGTAATTAGGTAGTAATTTGGCTGTTTCATCTTTTTAGCTGTTTCAGCTGTTACAGCGCCCTCATTGACACTAACGCTTACATGACCGTGCCTGTCAGGGACCGGCTGCACAGCCGGAACAAACTCACAAAGTTACAAACTGGCAGTCTTGCACTTATAACGTTCCAGGAATCATATGAATGGGTGCGGCACTTATTGTGTGCAAAAGAAAATGTTCGGCCGAACGTGAGGGCACGCAACACTTTTGAGGAGTTGAACATATTGTGGGCCCACCATACAGGACTCTTCGCTGGTACTCCCTCCCGCCCTGCAAACAGGGCGCTGGGAAGGGCAGATGAGCTTCACAGAATCTTGTAAAGGAAGTGGGGAGGGCATTCCGGGTAATTTATCATGACCTTTGTATAAAGCATCTGGTTGCAGCCGTAGACCGCCGTTAGCCAATGCGCACAAATACTATCCGAAAAGTTTGCCATAGAAATGCATACACCACATACCGGATGTGATTTCTTTTCATTGCGGACCATGTGGACAAAATTTTGAGCGTCGAATCATATGCATTTCGCCGACCCTTCGTGAATTCGAAACGGAGCCTGAACAACTGACTGGAGTTGAAAATTTACAAAAACAGGTAATTTGTTACATTTATTTTCCTACATTATTATTCTTTTCAACCAAAAAAGGGCGCCGCATTTATGAAAGGGAATAAAAGAGTGACTCAGTCTTAAAGGGACGCTAGGTCCTTGAACATCCCAATTGAGCGAAAGAGGACTCCAGTCTTTTAAACCCTTAACAAGGTACCCTCCACTTTTTTTGGGGGGGGGATCTGTCATTGGGAAGATTTAGTTAATGACTTGTTTACCGGGGTAAACTGCCTTTTTAAAGCTCCATTTTGATGGACTGTATTTACCAGTACCGTCCAGGAAGGGGGGGGGGGGGGAGTGGGATATACATACTGTTTTGAGGTGAGCCATTTGATTACCCCCCCCCCCATATATTTGTGGTGAACAATGAACACATCTTTGTAGCCATTGAAATAAATACAACATAAAATATATATATATATATATAAAGTCATAATGAAACTTATTTAGGGAAAGCTCCCGCAAAACAGTACCACTCGTGTCGTTCACTTTATTTACTTGCTGGTGTGATCAGTGCATTATTATGAACAGCGCCACCTATTGCCAAACGGTGTCTAGCCAAGGGATTTACGTCACCGCACAGAATGTTCGTACAGTGGTCATTGTAGAATGCTTCCCAGAATGCAACGTTTGCCTCGTGTATGTGTGTGTGAATTGGTCTCAGTGGTGATCAGCTTGCGGGAGTGGGGCGTTAATCAACGTCTTCTGCCATTGAATATCTGTATGCGAGACCATAGAACACGTAGCCAATAGGGGGTCATTATGTCCCCTTATCGGGCCTTGGAGTTGAAAAAATGAGCGCAGATTTGTCCTTTTGGTGGCATGGGTGGTAGTGCGTAAAGCGATCGCCTCTCACCACTGTAGCCCTGGTAAGTTTCCGGCAAGGACCATTAATTTGTGATTAAAGGTGTGCGTTGGTTCTCTCCTGTGCCACAAGGGTTTTTATCTGAAAACTGAAAAGCTAAAAACAAAAATATTTTAAAAAGGCGCGAAGTCAAATTGCTGTTGATTTAATGGGGTGGGGAGGCAAATTTCCTGCCCACCTTCGAAAAATGATAAATCGAGAATATGCTGGTAAATTACAGGGATTTCGGGTGGAAAAAATGTGATTTACCCCCTCTAGAAAAAAATCCTGGCGGCGCTCATAAAAATAAAAAAATATGGGTGTCGCGGAGGGGGGGGGGGGCCAAGGCGGTGCTTACCCTCCTCCCAAAAAAAAAAAAAAATACAAAATAAGAGAAACAAAAAGTAACAAAGGCGCGAAGTATCATTGCTGCTAATTTAATGCGGAAGGGGGGGGGGGGCAAATGTCTCTGCCCACCTTTGAAAAATAATAAATCGAGAATACTCGGGTAAAGTACAGGGATATCGGTGGGAAAAAACCTGGCGACTCCCATGTGTATTATTATTACTGTACAAGTTAACCACCCCGTCAAATAGAAGGAAACACTCTACTGCCTACAATTATAAATCTTTTCCTGACTCCTATTATTTAATTATACATGATGTTATAATGACCTGAAACAGCCTCTGAATTCATCTATTGTTATCATAACAAAAAAAAAACAACTTAGAATGCCGGAGATGAATGGTTTTTGCGACATGTTATTTCCTGTAAGTGTTTCCTTGTTTCGAACCAAAAACTGAAAATCATGAATGTTTACCACCTTACTTGCAAGGCCATTTGCCGGGGAGAATGCGCGGCAGGGGGCGGGGCAGGAGGGGGCAGAAGGGCCATTGCCCCCCCCCCCCCCCCCCCCCCCCCCCCCCCCCCCTTCACGCACACACACACACCCACACACACTTTTTGTGTGGGCGGGCGGGGGTGGGTATGATCCTCCCCCCTTCTTGGCAGAAAATGTATATCTAGGCCCTATATTTGGGTAGACATTAATAACACACCAACTAAATCAGTTTCTGGTCATTACTCTACTGTCTCTGGAAATAACAGGATCCAAATTTAATGATCGCTTTTGATTACCGAGAAGGCCTACATACACTGCAGTTGCCATGGCAAAGGCTGTGGAATCGGGAGGCCGGGCCAAGATGTAGCATTCACCGAAAAGAAAAGCAAACAAAAAGGGCGCCCTAACGACAATGACCGCCCTTCAAAAACTCTACTTCGGCCGCTGTCAGTGGCACACCCACTTCAGAAAAAGATATTGAACAAAAATTGTGGCCCCCTGCCAATAAAAAAAATCCTGGGTGAGCAAATGGCCGCTGTAATTGGTCTATTGATAGCTGCTGATATCGTTTATAATTTATTGCAATATGATTCCCAATCAACGTCCGTTATTTGAGATGGCATATTTAAATCCCGCTCAAATTATTTAATTTCATTCGTTCTACTGTCACCTCACGCACACCCCTCTATTGATACCCGTTGAGAGGTACTGGGGAATGGGGGGGGGGGGCAAATTGCAAACACTTCCCCCTCCCTTCCCCGATACGCGTCCCTTTCAATTTTAGTGATTTATCATTTCTTAAGTTAAATAAAACTTCAGCAAATAAGCAAAGGGAAATCAATATGATATTCCATTTTTCTTTTTAGTAGGTTCACAAAATAATTAGCATTGACTGATCCATTTGTAAGTCTTACTAAGAACAATATTACATAGAAAAGAGTGTCCAATTCATGTATAATTCAACTCGTGTAGAAGTGCATGTGGAATTCATGCTTTACAAGTACATATATAATGGAAGCCCCCACTATACTTTAAACACACACAATAATTAAACACCAGGAATTTCCTTCTTCAAGAAAAGCAAACTTGTTTATTTTTTTACAATGCAGTGCCGGAAAGGCATGTTTCACTTTCTTTATCTCCAGCACCATCTCCAGCACCATCTGCACAAATTATCAATATTTTACCCATGCGCAGTGACAATGTTGACAAGATAAGGACAAGGAAGCTTCAGTTAAAAATATATATATTTTTAATTTTTACTCGCAGAACGCTCAGTACATTCTATCAGAAGGGGGATATTTCCGAGTCATGAGCAATCCATAACCAAATCATTGAACAAAGCTGCGCAGTAAAAAGATTGGACTGACTGCAAACACCAACAGGTAAGAATTTCACGGTTTGTCTGATCTGTGCATGACTCTACGGCTGGTTAAAGACAGTTCGGCAAAATGTATGTCTGTTCACAATTCAAGGGAAACGTAACAAAGTGCCCACAAATTAATACGTAATACAAAATGTTCACCAATCGAAGTTTCTGGTTATTTATGTTTCATTCTAAGAGGTGGAATGACAATGGTTTATTTTTTCTATAGCCTACATCACCCTCTTTATGAGCCCAATTTTTCAGGAATTGTGTGACCTCACTGACTTGCCCATCAATATAATTCTTAATGGACAAAGCAGGTGCGGATCCAGGAATTTTTGCAAGGGGGGGGGGTCATCAGAAAATCAATGCTGAAATGTAGACGTTTTTTTGTGTTCGGACACTTGGGTCATGGGGGGGGGCTCGTACTTTACTTTTAATGGGAGCTCTTTCCGATTGTTAACACTATATATAGTCATGATAGTGCACAAATACCCCGTAACCCAGCAGGCTCTGTCCATATTTTGTGCACAGGCGTATATTAATACCAGTATAATTGTTTTGGGGTGTTAGAGCGCGGGGGGCAGTTTTATAAGCATTGGTTTTTAGGAATTTCTTTGGAAAAAAAACAATTTTGACAGAGCTGGTTTTTTTGGGACCCCCCCCCCGATCCGTGCCTGACAAAGTTATACCAGGAAAGTGGTTTTGTTATAGGCCCCGAGATTTGTTCTGAAGAACTATTATTTATGTATTTTACGAGTTCCTCCCAAAATTGCTGTTATTCGTCCTTATAGCAAAACGGCAGATATTCACTTTCCAATAAAGCATCAAAAGAAGAACAAAGTCGGCCAACGTTTAGTTATGGATTAATTACTAAACTATTTATGAACTAATTATATAAGCACGACAATAATTCATTTCCAACAGACTAGAGTGGTTCCCATCCTGATACCAACATTGATAGGACCAGTAAAACAAGTCTAGCAGATCGGGTTGGCTTATGCACAACATACAATCCTTTACAGCTTCACAATAGACAACCGTTGTGTAGGCGGAATCAGACAGTTATTGTTTCGTATTTCCCGGATATACATAAGTAAATGCAGTGTGCAGAAAAAGAGAGTGACCAGGATAAATACGTTTCTCGTTTGTAATGTTGACTCCCGATGAAACACGTAATAATCAGGGTATTATCAGGATAAACACATAGGCTAAATTGTTCAGTTCTTTGCTATCATGTCTAACTAAAAAAAAAAAAAAATAGAACGGCGAAGCCGCCATGGCTCACTGTCGAAGGCAGGAAGGGAGGCTGAAGGTAGGGTTGGGGAGGTGACGGGGATCAGGATTGTGGTTGATGTGCCAAGGTGTAGGGGTCAGTTTTTAAATGTCAACATAAAAAGTCAACAGATTTACATAATAAATACATGTACACTGTATTTCCATTTGTTTTCCATTGTTAGAGTAATTACATGTAGGGCCCAGTAGTGGAGCCCTTTTGTAGCCCCCACAGCGTCTTCTGTAATACAAGTATTACCATGGAAGAACTCTTGTGTAGTCCCCACAAATTCAGAACATGAATGGGTATACATGTACTTGTAGACACAGCATCATCACCACTTGCCCCAAACCTTACCCCATCCCTGCCTTGCCCCCCCATACCCACCCCAACCCCCTACCTATCCATCCTCCCCCTACCCATCTCCACCCCATCACATACACATCTCAACCCCACCCAAACTCCAATCCCTATCTCCTTCCCCTCCCCCACCCTCCCTTACCCCAACCCCCTACCACCACCCACCCCATTCTCCCCTACCCATACATCCCCACCCCAACCCCAACTCCAATCCCTACATCCCACCCCTCACCTACCCTCCCCTTACCGAACCCCTACACCCACCCACCCTTACACATCCCGACCCAACCCCAACCCCTACTTTAATCCCTATATCCCGCCCCCTGCCCCACCCCACCTAACCCAACCCCTACACCCATCTACCCCATCCTCCCCTACCTGTCTCCCCTACCTGTCCCCACCCACCCCCCTCCCAAACCCATTATTCCAATCTCTATCCCCCAACCCACCCCATCCTCCCGTACCCCATCCCTACCCATCCCCACCAACCCAAACCCCTATCCCCCACCCCGACCCCACCCCCATCTTCCCCTACCTATATATCCCTACCAAATCCTTACTCCAACCCCATACAACTAAATGATCAAACCTGAAGCACATGAATGCTCCCCAAAATGCATAGTGTACATGTTATACACGTAAAACCAAATACTTCAACATTTTTATCTGAACGCGGACGGCCGGACAGACGTACGCCGGATGGACGGCCCGACGGACGGCCCGACGGCCCGACGGACAGACGGACGGAAATTGGTATTGCATAGGCTCGCATCTGCTTCGCAGCTCGCCAAAAATCTCATTTTACAGCTGTCCAGGGAATGCTAAATGCTTTGACGCCATACAGCTGAGTGACAGATATTACACACAGGAGTCAGATTCAAATAAGTTGAGTCAAGACTGAAACATTATTTTTACTGTCCGTTGTTGTGTTTTGGTTTTCAACTCTTTTTTGGACATTAGAATGGCAAGTTTTGTCTTTTTCCTTTGTTTTCTTTCATCGTACTTTATCAATGACTATCGGTAAAATGATATGTGGCGGATAACTGAATTGCGTGGTGTTTGTAGAAAAAAACGTGTCTGAAGAGTACGCGAATTATGTGGAATTTTCACAGTCAATTACATTTACTTTCCCCCTGCATCCTTCTTATTTAAGGGAACGAGCTCCATATGTTTTTTTTTCTTTTCTAAAACATTATAGAGCATGTTCATTGTTTTATACGTTTTATTTGAATGGAATTCGTTTAATCAAGTTAATTTAATTTAAATATAATGAGTTAAAGAACACGACAGTTCATTGTTTGGTACACGTATCGTCATTTTTGTTTTGCCAGATTGAGTACAAGATGATTACCATGAAACACCCGTGTAGCAAAACGATGTTGCTTCAATTGCTTGGTGTCATTGTGATGACGGAGGTACTGTTCATGTTGGCTGATGCATGTGAGTACGACCTTAGTAATATACTTTCATTTATGAGCATTTTGCGAAGGAATGACTCTTTATGCAATCGATATTAGCATGTACTCTGAGGCAAATTAAACGCAAAACAGGGCTTCTGAGTGATGCCATTGACCATGTTTCTAACCGTTTTTTTCTTGGGAAAGACTTGGTCCTGTTATCCTCTTAATACTTTCCGTTCAGTTGATATTAGTTCTCGAATTAAGGTGTGTTGAGGTCTTTTGAAGTTGAGGGACTAAAAACGGTACACATACCAAGAAACCAATCATGCTAAACTGGCCTTGCATAATAATTTTATATGCACAACCCGTGCGCCTAGAATTGAAATAACTTCCTAATTTTCGGGTGTTGTCCATCGCCTTTGCGCGATTCATAACCCACTTAACCTGTTAATTTCCAGTTCAATGCCCCATTTGCGACGCACATCTAGCGTACAAGTAACGAATTCAGCGCATCCATTGCGTCTGAGATGCGTATGAGTTGCGTATGCAGTGCACAACATAATTTTTCGGGCTGCGAATAGGTCAGTATGCAGTGCGCATGCCGAGCGTATTCCGGACGCACCCGACTTATGCCGACCGCATGCTTGACGCACTTCTGAGCGTATTCCCGCCGCATTTCCGCCGCTCGCCGTTCAGCGTGCGTTGCATCTGCGCTGCAGGTACGCTATGAATACGTCCAATACAGGCGGCTCATATGCTGACGGGGTGCGTCACGAACACATAACGTACTCGTAACGCACTCGACCGATGCGGGACCAATGCGCTGCGTATTTATAACTTATGACCTGCGTAACAGCGTACGCAGCGTAGTTTTGTGCATGCCCAAAACTATCCTGCGTACTGGGCCGTAGCACGCGTATATCTGCGTACATAAAACCTACACAAAACGATAGAGATGCATATGAGGTGCGTATTGTGCGTACGACTGCGTATGAAAAAAATGTCAATGCGCAACTCATAAGGAATTAGGATGCGCAGAAGTGTGACAGAGCCCTTAGGGGCGTGTCCAAAGCTTTTGCGCCTAAATGTAGTTCAGGTTTCCCGATCCGTACAGGAATACTGGAAGGACAGTTGCATAGTAATCAAGGATCATTGTCCGAGTATGAATGTGCATGTTCGGGAAGCGCACATTGTTTTGCCGCTGGTATAGGTTGCATACTTGCAGAGTTTTGGAGAACTGCTCGTGCAAACAACGCACGCGATTCAATGGTGTTGTTTTCACAGGTTAAACGCACACTTACGTCAAAGTTTGTGCCAAGTTTGAAGTTCGACGACCTACAATGGTCGCTCAGTCGACTGCAAAAATAATGTGCCCGTGTACATACGAAAACATGTGCTATTCACCCGTACTGGACCATGTGTCGCCCTACACCACTGCACGTGCGCGTGTCCGTCCTTTTTGCATTGTTTGCGTCATATTGAGAACGCGCACTTTAGCTTATACATGACGTAAACAATTGAAAAGAACGGCAGTGCGTGGTGCTATGTTCTAAGCTGCCACGTTTGCCTCCGAAAATACTGCTTTTTTGCAGCTTTTTTCAAAAACTTGGCACTGCACATTATGTGGCCCAGAGCAATACACCCGCCGATTTTCAACTTCATACGGTGCCCGGTTCTGGAGATAATCGACGGACAGACAGACAAACAGACAGAGATTCCTTGAATTATAGTAAGGACTAGTGCAGGGCCAGTCGAAAATGTGCGTGTTCGGAAGGGCAGTTGAGAACTGCAGCTCGTGCAAATAACGCACATTATTCAATGGTGTGAACACACACTCGCAAGTTAAACGCTGAAAATGTCGTCACCCCTCGGCACTGATATTTACCCCTACTGGACAATATGGTATCGCCCTACAACTGCAGGGCGTAGTTGTAGGGCGATATCATATTGTATTAGAGTTGCTCAGTCGACCGCCTACATACAGTGCAGTGATGGTTGCTCAGTTGACTACAAAATGCATGTGCCCGTGCATGCATGCCACTCACGTACGAAGACATGGTGTGCAGAGCTATCGCCCTACAATGTGCCCGTCCTTTTTCCATTGTTGCGTCATATTAAGCACGCGCGCTCTTGCTCAAACATGACGTAAACAATTGAAAAGAACATCAGTGTGCGGAGTTTTAGGCTATATTCTGGCGCGCTGGGCCTCAGAAAATACTGCTTTTTTGCAGCTTTTTCGAGAACCCCTCTTCCAAACCACTTCAAACTTGACACTGCACAGTCTGTTGTCCCGAGCAACACACCCGCCGATTTTCAACTTCATACGGTGCCCGGTTCCGGAGATAATCGACGGACAGACAGACGGACAGACAGAGATTCCCGGAATTATAGTAAGGACTAGTGCAGGGCCAGTCGAAAATGAGTTGAGAACTGCAGCTCTTGCAAACAACGCACATTATTAAATGGTGTGAACGCACAGTCGCAAGTTAAACGCACGAAATGTCTTCACCCCCTGGCACTGATATTTACCCCTACTGGACAATATGGCATCGCCCTACAACTCTAGGGCGTAGTTGTAGGGCGAAACCATATTGTATTAGAGTTGCTCATTCGACCGCCTACATACAGTGCAGTGATGGTTGCTCAGTTGACTACAAAATGCATGTGCCCGTGCATGGCACTCATGTATATGTACGTACGAAGACATGGTGTGCAGTGCTATCGCCCTACAATGTGCCCGTCCTTTTTGCACTGTTTGCGTCATATTGAGCACGCGCACTTTTGCTCAAACATGACGTAAACAATTGAAAATCCCTGCGCGTGTTCAAGGTATATAATCTGCCACGTTGAGGCTAAACAAATGCTGCTTTTTTGCAGCTTTTTCAAGAACCCCTCGTCAAAACCACTTCCAACTTGGCACTGCACTTTCTGTGGTCCCGAGCAATATACCCGCCGATTTTCAACTTCATACGGTGCCCGGTTCTGGAGAAAATCGACGGACAGACAGACGGACAGACAGAGATTCCCGGAATTAAAGTAGAGAATAGTGCAGGGCCAGTCGAAAATGTGCGTGTTCGGAAGGGGCAGTTCAGAACTGCACTCGTGCAAATAACGCACATTATACAATGGTGTGAACGCACACTCGCAAGTTAAACGCTTAAAATGTCGTCACCCCTCGGCACTGATATTTACCCCTACTGGACAATATGGTATCGCCCTACAACTGCAGGGCGTAGTTGTAGGGCGATATCATATTGTATTAGAGTTGCTCAGTCGACCGCCTACATACAGTGCAGTGATGGTTGCTCAGTTGACTACAAAATGCATGTGCCCGTGCATGCATGCCACTCACGTACGAAGACATGGTGTGCAGAGCTATCGCCCTACAATGTGCCTGTCCTTTTTCCATTGTTGCGTCATATTAAGCACGCGCGCTCTTGCTCAAACATGACGTAAACAATTGAAAAGAACATCAGTGCGCGGAGTTTTAGGCTATATTCTGGCGCGCTGGGCCTCAGAAAATACTGCTTTTTTTGCAGCTTTTTCGAGAACCCCTCTTCCAAACCACTTCAAACTTGACACTGCACATTCTGTTGTCCCGAGCAACACACCCGCCGATTTTCAACTTCATACGGTGCCCGGTTCCGGAGATAATCGACGGACAGACAGACGGACAGACAGAGATTCCCGGAATTATAGTAAGGACTAGTGCAGGGCCAGTCGAAAATGAGTTGAGAACTGCAGCTCTTGCAAACAACGCACATAATTAAATGGTGTGAACGCACAGTCGCAAGTTAAACGCACAAAATGTCTTCACCCCCTGGCACTGATATTTACCCCTACTGGACAATATGGCATCGCCCTACAACTCTAGGGCGTAGTTGTAGGGCGAAACCATATTGTATTAGAGTTGCTCAGTCGACCGCCTACATACAGTGCAGTGATGGTTGCTCAGTTGACTACAAAATGCATGTGCCCGTGCATGCCACTCATGTATATGTACGTACGAAGACATGGTGTGCAGTGCTATCGCCCTACAATGTGCCCGTCCTTTTTGCACTGTTTGCGTCATATTGAGCACGCGCGCTTTTGCTCAAACATGACGTAAACAATTGAAAATCCCTGCGCGTGTTCAAGGTATATAATCTGCCACGTTGAGGCTAAACAAATGCTGTTTTTTTGCAGCTTTTTCAAGAACCCCTCGTCAAAACCACTTCCAACTTGGCACTGCACATTCTGTGGTCCGAGCAATATACCCGCCGATTTTCAACTTCATACGGTGCCCGGTTCTGGAGAAAATCGACGGACAGACAGACAGACAGACAGACAGAGATTCCCGGAATTAAAGTAGAGACTAGTGCAGGGCCAGTCGAAAATGTGCGTGTTCGGAAGGGGCAGTTGAGAACTGCAGCTCGTGCAAATAACGCACATTATTCAATGGTGTGAACGCACACTCGCAAGTTAAACGCACAAAATTTCGTCACCCCTCGGCACTGATATCTACCCCTACTGGACAATAATGGTATCGCCCTACAACTGTTGGGCGTAGTGTAGTTGTAGGGCGATACCATTGTATTTAGAGTTGCTCAGTCGACCGCCTACATACAGTGCAGGCTCAGGTGACTACAAAATGTCCGTGCATGCCACTCACGTTTGTACGTACGAAGAAATCGTGTGCAGTGCTATCGCCCTACAATGTGCCCGTCCTTTTTCCATTGCTGCGTCATATTAAGCACGGGCGCTCTTGAATATGGTATCGCCCTACAGCTGTAGGGCGCAGTTGTAGGGCGATACCATATTGTATTAGAGTTGCTCAGTCGACCGCCTACATACCGTGCAGTGATGGTTGCTCAGTTGACTACAAAATGCATGTGCCCGTGCCCGTGCATGCCACTCACGTACGAAGACATTGTGTGCAGTGCTATCGCCCTACAATGCGCCCGTCCTTTCTCAAACATGACGTAAACAATTAAAAAGAACATCAGTGCGCGCCGGGTTCTAGGCTATATTCTGGCGCGCTAGGCCTCAGAAAATACTGGGTTTTTTGCAGCTTTTTCGAGAACCGCTGGTCCAAACCACTTCAAACTTGGCACTGCACATTCTGGTGTCCCGAGCAATACACCCGCCGATTTTCAACTTCATACGGTGCCCGGTTCTGGAGATAATCGGCGGACGGACAGACAGACGGACGTTCCAGCGGGCGGACACTTCTGGGGTACCTCCATTGTTGTCCCTTTGTCCCTATTTCTAAAGATTTCACTTGCGGAGTACCCTATTTTCTAAAGATTTCACTTGCGGGGTACCGCCAACAATGGAAAGGTACCCCACAAGTGGTCACTGGTAAGCACGGACAGACAGACAGCCCGACAGACAGACAGAGATTCCTGGAATTGTAGTAGAGATATCATTGGGTGCGTTCGATTAGCTTACACGTGTAAGTGAAACTTACACGAGAGCGTTCGATTAGCCATCACGTGATCCTCGTGTCTGCCCCGGTGTCAGCCACCACTGCCCCGCGGTGCGAGCGGGTCTCTGGTGGATTCCTCCGGTCAAATGACGTAATACCGGCTGACTTCGAAGCAAGATGGCGGGGAACTTGAAAACAACGTAAGTACAAAAAAATGTACTAATTAAGCCTATAGCATGAATAAAGTAAAGGAAAGATGATATTTTCCTGATAATAGTTCGGATAACTGTGTCTTCCTCCATGCTTTTACCCCATATAGGCCTAATTTGTGTGAATTTTCGTCCGGTCGCGTGGTCTTTTTTGGCGTTTATTCATTGTCGTCACGGACATGACGGACGACGACGTAGGCGCGGCCTAGCCTATTTAAATTAGGCCTAGGCCCTTTAAAACTTAGTCTGTTCATGGTCTGCTGTACAATCAGTTTACACATGGTTTTCATCATCTCAATGAAAAATTGAAGGTCGTTCGTTGCCAAAATGATGGTAAGACATGAATCTGGGACTGAAAAACATTTCCAATTTTGTTAAGAAATGATTAAAAAAAAATAATTTGAGTCTCCCTAGACTTTGTAGTTCAGTTGTACACAACCGACAACTGCTGAAATTGCCAGGTTGCAACATTCTTTCCCTGTATTTTTGCTCATATAGGCCTACTAGCTGTACCGGTCATGACCATAAGAAGTTGTTTCTGTTTTCCCAATAACACCGATCCACACTCTTTCCAATTTTCATTGGAACAATTAAGGAACTAATTACTAGTCAGCTTGGCCAGGCCTACATAGGCCTACATCATTTTTACTTAGTGGTGTTGTTGAGCGCAATTTGAGTCCCCCACGCAAGTTTAAACTTGCGCGCACAAGTTTAAACTTGCGCGAGGGACTCCTGAAGCACGCAAATTACACCGCGCCATTTTAACTTGCGTGGGCAAGTTTAAACTTGCGCAAAGGCGATCGCAACCTTCTTTTGCGGGCGGGATTTTCATTGATGAAGAATTTTTTTTTTCAAAACACGAGTACATGGAGAAATAATGGAATAAATGAATGAATAAGAAATAAATAAAAAGGGGAATTCAATTAGTGTCAATGAAAAGAAACATTGAGATTTAGCAGTGCTTATCAGAGAAGTTGTTTAACGGTACGTGGGGGCGGGGCCAGGGAGGGGACCGGGCAAGCAATCAACTTAAGCACACTAGCGGCGATTGCTTGGAAAGTGTACCGAAGTTGTTCAAAAATGGAGACCAGCTTAAAGTTTTTTGCTTTGTAAACCTAATTAGCATTTTATATTCTTGAATGTTATAATAAATCATAATTTCCTAGGTGTAACCCGCTGTTAACATAAAAAGAATGATTATGATCCCTTCAATTGTTCAAGTTTTGACATTATACTAATCATTTGCATTATTTTTAAAATGCTTAATGTATTCTACAATTAAAAAAGTACTTACTCTTAAAAAATACTAATTAATTTAACAATTAATAAATTGTACGGTACAATAAGTCATATTGTTTTTAGAAATACTTGCATAACATTTCGAGCGCTGTGTACACTTCAAAAATGCATAATTTGAAAAAAAAATAATGAATGCATTACTAATTTCATTAATTAATTAAATGTATTACTTTAACAAATATTTTTTATTGCAGGCTCAATAATTCATATTAAAAAAATGTTTACAACTTAAAAACGCTATGCATATAAAATGGTAATTATTTTAAAAAGTAAATAAATTTGCAAATGATTTAATTAATGAATTTAATCAAATGTTTCAAAACAAGGCATTAAGGCATTGTCTCCCGAATCTAAGTGATAATATTAAATCGGAGAAAAAATCTGCTTTAAAAATAATGTTACATATCTGCACGAGTATACCCAGGGGCAAAATAGTTTAGCGGCTCTGTATGCGTGGCCGGGAAAATCTATGCAGTGCGCAAGTTTAAACTTGCGTGCGCAATTTGTAGCAAGGAAATGAATGCACGCAGGTTTAAACTTGCGCGCGCAAGTTTAAACTTGCGCGGGGGACTCACTTTGCGCTCGACAGCGTTACTGTTTTTAGCTATTGAGTATTATTATGGCATACTGGCATAGTAAACCAAGCGACGAATTGATATCGCATTTACAACATGCCGTCCCACTTTACATGTAGCAGTGTGTTTGTAGGGTGATCGTGTATCTATGGGCTTGGTTCCTGGCACGCCATTTCACAAATATTCTAGATAAATTGTTAATAAATATGTTCCTTTTTGTCACAATATTTGTCTTGTTTTCAACATTTTTAGGCACCAGCTATATATGGGTGGGTCTTATGAAAAGAGACTGGATATATTGCCTGGATTTAACTGACACTACTATTAAATCCATCATTTGTGTACATACAATGTACGTGTGTTCACTTTCTCTATTTTATGTTTAACTCAGGTATTGGCAGACTGTCATTATTGAAGATGAAGATGGGCAACAGTACAGTGTCTCATTAGATGCGCCTAATGCAAAGAGATTGACTGGAGGAGGTAGAAAATCATGATGTGAATTAATACATGTATGTAAAACGGTTTGAAGAAAAGATTGGAGAAAAAAAACAACTATTAATTAGAAAAATATTTTATCGAGTGGAAGGAATTGAACAGGATAATTAACTGGATAATCGAATCACATGAGAACAATGTAAAACTAGTAAAAGTAATGAAAACTCATGGAACTTTTATACCAAAAAGTGGAGCAGACACTGTTGGGATGCAAAGAGTATGTAATGTATCAAGGACGCTGAGTGTGTGTCTAATGATTCTCTTGTCTGTTTGCTGCTGCTGGTCTGATGAGCAGGAAGTTTGGGCTGGGGAAGGGGGGGGGCACTACTAAACTAAACTAAACTAAACGCAGTGGAATGTGGGTTCTACTCCAATAAAAAGGTGGCAGTAGAAAGTATGGTATTTTCCAATTAACCAATGACTGACCTTGTTCTAAATTTCCGCACATGTGTAGATAATTAATGCATTTGACAATCATTGACCCTATCTCATTTTTTTTTTCAGATTCAGAGTTTGCGAAACTAATATTAAGCAACATCAAAGAGGCTGGTTCAGGTAAATACTAATAAAACTGTACTGCCTATTACACAACTTTTTTTTCATGACATTCATTAGGCTAAAATGTTTATTTAATGTCATTAAGAACAGTCATAAAACAGTGATGACGCATAGTTGCTGCACAGTGGATTTTAACTGCATCACCTCATTGTTGTTAAATTTTAGTTGACAAGTGAGTTGAAATATATATAACTGCCATCAACTTGAAACATTTACATTTTTCTCCATTTTTAGAGGCTGCTCAAGCCAAGAAAGGAGTGTCTTCTCCAAGCACTCCCCGACCAGACTGTCCCCGTCCAGAAGGACCAGAAGCCAGTACCGCTAGTTTGCCATCAGGTATGCAGTCTAGCTGCTATAAAACAACAAAAGTCTGTCACACCTTACTCCTTGCGGTCCCATCCCGTCAGCCCCCTCCCAACGAAAAAAAAACAATAAATAAATGATCATGCTTTTCTATCAACTTAAACCATTGCCATTTTTCTCCATTTTTAGAGGCTGCTCAAGCCAAGAAAGGAGTGTCTGCTCCAAGCACTCACCGACCAGACTGTCCCCGTCCAGAAGGACCAGAAGTCAGTACCGCTAGTTTGCCATCAGGTATGCAGACTACAGTCTTACTCCTTGCAGTCCCATCAGCCCCCGGGGACGTCTCTATAGTCCAAAGTCCCATGACTGGTCCGAAGTCCCATCGGTCCAATGCCTCATAGGGTTAGGGTTAGGATTAGTCAACCTGAACAAGTAGAATATTTCGGACCAATGGGATTTCAAACTAATGGGACTTCGGACCAGTGGGACTATGGACCAATGGGACTTCGGAAAAATGGGACTTCAGACTATCGTGACGTAACCTCAGCTCCCCTCCCCCACCAAAAAAAAAAATAAAATAACTACCTGATCTTGTATTGTTCATACACTTTTGTAGCGCTTTGATTGATTGGGAAATAGCTAATGTATGTTCTGCTAGTGTTAGGAACTTGCATAATTTTGTATCTTAATTAAATGATACACGACAGTACGTGGTCCAAAATGACCTTTGTACAGAGTGTCTAAAAAAACCCATCAAAGCCCCATCTTTTTCGCAGGTTACAAAAATACCTCGCAAATATCGAAACACGTGGAGAGTATAAGTTCATTAGCTGATCATCAGTGAATTTTGTTTTGCATTTGTTTGTGTCTGTGTGTGGTCAAGGGTAAAAGGTAGTAATTTATGGGTTTTTCCCTCAATTCCCCCGCCCCAGAGCAATGAAATGTGTCCAGGGTTGGTTGTTTTCAAAGCATGAAAATGAAATTTTTAGTTTATGCGCCTTTTATATTTTCCTCCATTTCAGGTTCAAGCACAGCAACATCATCTTCAAGACACGAGTGGACAGAAGGAGAAACACGGCAACTTATATCGGTAATGGGCAGGTATGAGGCAAAATTGAAAGAATCAAAATTCAAAAAGCCGGTGTGGAAAAAAGTTGAAAAAGAAATGGGTATTCCCTCAGACAAGTGCGAGGACAAGGTGAAAAGCCTGAAGAGGTCATATAAAAACTATGTACAGGCTTCTTCAAGGACAGGCAATTCACCCAGCCATTTCAAATGGGCGAAGGAAATGGAGGTCCTGATGCACAATGACCCAACAGTAAGGCCAACATTCACTTGCGACAGTGAGTTAAATGTGCTTAGCAACTTTGATGATCCTGATGAAGATGAGTCCAGTAGCACACTGAGAAAAAGAAAACCAAAGAGCCATGGGTTAATGCATCAAAAATTGACTAAAATGACAGACTACATGAAAGAAAGGGACCACCAATTCCTTTCTTTCATGCAATCTGTCCATGAGGACAACAAGAATTTGATGCAGCAACTCATTGACAAATTGTGAAGAGGCTTCTTTGTCAGGTTTTCCTTTCCATACTACCCGTAGTAAAGAATATCATTGTTCCCCTCTCAATTTGTTGATGTTTTCAAAATTTCAAGTTTCTCTTCCAAACGAGTTTTGAAGTGATATAATACTCTGTAACAATTGAATTTGTTTGTTTGCATTTGCAGGCCTTAAAACTTGTACAATTCTAAAAGGCTGTTTTAAAGAGAATATCATCATCATCTATTAGTCGCAAGCCAGATCTCGTTCACAGCGCCACGCCAGGTATCTTTATCCCTCATTATGCATGGAAGATCTTCAATTTCACATTGGGTGTCTCTGCCATTCACATCAATGTAGTTGGAAGCTCTTTGTCCTTTATTAGGGCATGGAAGTCTCCATCATAATTCCACTGGGTTTGGGAACAAGGTGTGACACATGACCATACTAGGAAAGTTGCAGTTGCTCCGGTAATATTGTTGTTGGGCATTTCACTGTTGCCAAAAATATGAGCAAAAATGTCATTCGGATGTACATGTAGCATTGACACCATGTCAATGTTGCGTCAAAATATTTTTTTTCCTTGTTTAGTTCTGTAAAATATTAACCAAATTCACTTTATGTACTTCTTACTTTACATATACATGCAACACAACAAGAAAACTTTTGTTATGGTAGTCAGGAATCAAATAGAGCAGAAATGATAGCTTGGCTGTAGACGTAACATTGACAATGTGTCAACCCCACATGTCACATTTCCATTGAGTGCTTTTGACACTGTTACATCCACATTAAGGTATTGTTTCTGCTATATTTGAAACCTGACTATACCAAAACAAAAGCTTTTCTTTTAGTCTAGTTCCCTGATCCCACTGAAGATGAAAGGGAGCAATTTGTCGTGTCAGTGCAACAAGGTCGCAACTTGATTCTGCAACAAAGTCGAATCTGGAGCAAATACGCTCTGTGCAAGGTCGTTTCTAGCATATTGCAACATCCATTGACTTTGTGTGTATATCTGGGTTAATTTAAGCGAGATACAACCTTTTGACATTGAAAACTCGCATGTCATGTACATGACAACACATGCTGGTTTTTTTTTAGATACGACCTTGTTGCACTGACACGATGAATTAAAGAGGTTGTGGAATGCCCGAAGACATTTCCGTCATTTTTCGGGTATATGTAGCCTAAGGTGTGATGAAATAAAAACGACTATTGTTTCTGTCATGAAATGAGTACAAAAGGTACTTTTGAGAGCTGTTTTTCAGGTCCAGGTTCGACCCGAACGTGCAACTGTGTAAATATCGTCGTTGCGGGCAGCAAACAAAACACAGTAAATCGTGACGTAATAAACAGGACTCGTGTATGCTACTGTGCATCGGGAGTCCTGTTTATTACGTCACGATTTACTGTGTTTTGTTTGCTGCCCGCAACGACGACATTTACACAATTGCACGTTCGGGTCGAAACTGGACCTTAAAAACAGCTCTCAAAAGTACCTTTTGTACTCATTTCATGACAGAAACAATAGTCATTTTTATTTCATCACACCTTAGGCTACATATACCCGAAAAATGACGGAAATGTCTTTGAGCATTCCACAACCTCTTTAATCGTAATGTAAAGTTGAAATGTAAAGTGTACTCATTCCATCTGAACTGAGCGTCAAGTTTGCTTGAAGATAAATTTGTTATCACGCTCACACTCGAGGAACACGAAAAATGTAGTGCGTCTGTCCCACATACTACTCTGTCCCACATACCACTTGGCCGGACACAGACGCACTTCATTATTCCGTGTTCCACTTGCACTCGCAGGATAAACATAGCCGTGACTATTGAAATTCACGATGACCCAACAGTAAGGCCAACATTTACTTTGTAGTATGCAGACATTATTCATGTGCCCTGTTCTGATTGTAACATAACATTTGAAAGTATTGGGCAATTGTAAGGTCAGGTTATCAGTCTAGCTGGCTAGTACCCATTCACAAGTTTGTAATCAGTTGCAAAGAAAATGCGAACTAACTAATTATGATAAATCGGGAGAAACAGCCGGTTTTGTATTAGGCTGGCATAGTGCCAAGGACCGATCGTAGCTATGCCTAAATGCAAACTTGATAGTATTTGGTGCCAGATTATCCTTTCCAGAAACTGGTGCCTTTTCGGTGAGCGGTATTTCAAGTTCAATGAATAAGAGAAAAACTATGAAAAAATGGAAACGTTCACACAAATTAAACTGTGAGGTTTTATAACACCTCAAATTTATTTCCAACTATATTCAAGGTCACTTGTGACCCTGACTCAGACTCAGACCTGTATAACTTGTGACTTGAACTCAGGAGAAGGGACTGGCATTCAAACTCAACATGTATGACTTGCGACTTAGACACGGACTCAAATTTGATCTGTATACATGACTCTTGACTTTGACTCGGGAGAGGTTACTGGGACTCACACTTGACCTGTATGACTCATGACTTCGACTCGGGAGAAGTGACTCAGACTTGACTTGCATGACTCGTGACTGGACTCTGACGCGGGAGAGGTGACTCGGACTCGACCTGCATGACTCGTGACTGGACTCTGACTCGGGAGAGGTGACTCGGACTCGACCTGCATGACTCGTGACTGGACTCTGACTCGGGAGAGGTGACTCGGACTCGACCTGCATGACTCGTGACTGGACTCTGACTCGGGAGAGGTGACTCGGACTCGACCTGCATGACTCGTGACTGGACTCTGACTCAGGAGAGGTGACTCGGACTCGACCTGCATGACTCGTGACTGGACTCTGACTCGGGAGAGGTGACTCGGACTCGACCTGCATGACTCATGACTGGACTCTGACTTGGGAGAGGTGACTCAGACTCGACATGAAGTCTGCCATGTGTCAAATGGATTTGGATGTTTGTACATATTCTCTACATTTCCTATTGATGATTGATTTGATGAACAAGCTGAAGTCTTTTCAGTCGTCCGGCTCCATCATTTCTTGGTGCTTCATGCCCTCCATCAGGCATTTCATCTTCAGACACTGCAAATATGTCATTTAGAAGCACCTCCTCTTTTTGTGCAATGCAGACATTATGCAAAGTGCAAGCAGCAAGGACTGTGGACACAAGAAATTGTGGGTCACTGACATCAAATTGGGTGAGCCTGCGAAATCTGCCCTTTAGATGGCCAAAAGCCCTCTCAATCACTTGCCTGGCTGCACACAACTCCCTGTTGAATCGCCTCTGATCTTGTGTGAGGTGGCCAAAATCCTTAAAGGGGGTTTGTAAGAAGGTTTTCGGTGGGTAGGCTGTGTCTGCAATGATGTACTCCTGTCCTTGAAACTTGATGTGGGCATCCTGATATACACTGGAATTGCGCAGTACCCGAGAATCATGGCTGCTACCAGGCCAACCGCACATGACATTAGTGAACATCCACTGATGGTCACAGACTCCCTGTAGAACTACTGAGTAGAATTTTTTTCTGTTGAAGTATGATTGTGGATGATCAATGGGAGCCTTGATGCGGATGTGGCAACCATCCACAGCTCCAATCACATTAGGAAGCGAAGAAAGTTGTGCAAATCCTTCAGAGATAATTTGCTTCGAATTTTCCGTGTAGGGCCATGTGATTATGTTTGGCATAAGGTTACATTTTATAGCAGAAGCTACCTTCTTGCAACAACTGTGAGCAGTTGACTGTGAAAGCCCAAACCGATCAGCCATGCTGCGAAACGATTCCAGGTTTCCTAAAAAGGGGATATACAAAACGAGGGTACACATTTAGAAGTAAGTAAGGAACGGATATTTAAAATGATTGACTAAGTGTTTGCATTTTGTTATAAAGACACGTTTGTTGATCAGTTTAATTTTGTGTTGTTTGAAGTATTATTAAAGTAATTATTTGTCTGTTAATAGGTATTGTAAAAGTAGATTACACATGGAAAAATGTAAGTAGATGGAAGGTTGGTTCACTGAAACAATAGGCTTAATTGTCTACTTTGAGAAGCAAATGAAAAAAAAATTTAATATATGTATTTATTTCTTGAAGATGTGTCACCGTCAATAAAACAAAAAAAGACACTGACAATATTTTTTCTGCTTCATATTTCTGCCATTTATTGGCCATCTTCATATACCCCCTCCCTCACGTGCAGGTCAACTGGGTCCCCAACCAACTCGGTCCCATGTATGCAGATCAGCAATCAGTGCCAGATCAAATATATTCCTCGGTCCCAAGGAACTTGGCCCCTGCGGAAGTATTTTTAACACAAACAAAGGCTGAATAATTTTAAGATCTCTTGCATATTGATGACCTGTCCTGTCCCTCAGTGACTTGCTGGAGTGTTTTCCCCCCTAAATGTTGCTCTTGACTCAAAACCCACACACACACACACCCACATCCCTGTATTTGCCTGCAATCAGGGACCCCCTATTTTCCCTCTTTCATTTGTTCTAACTTTCAAGAAAGACCGCCCATATGTTTTGTAGGCCTACATGAATCCAAATTGGGAACCCCTCGGGAATTGAAATTGTCCTCTGTTGTTCAACGTCCCCTATATAATGCACAATCTCTTTGTTTTGTGTTTTCCCACAGCTTGAGCTTACAACTATAATGACTGATTGGTTTTAACTATGGGGGGGGGGGGGCTAGTCACAATGAAAATATTTCTACTACAATAGGACTAACTGAACACAATTTGGGAAAGCCTAAGCAGTGAGTTCATACCGCAATGTCAGGTTTTTTTTGTGGTTGTCATTTTATATGCATCTCGCTCTCGGGATAGGTGGGTAGGCATGGTAGGCCTACTGCCACCACAGATAATCTTCACTTTAAAAAAAATCAGGGCTAAACAGCTAATAATAGTTAGGCCTATAACTAGCCCCATAAATGTGGCCTATTTACTGGACTGCCTCCGTAAACATATAGGCCACACATCCACATGTGCAAAAATCGTGTCGACTTTGCCAAATTTTGATTTTCCCATTAAGGCTTAGTGTGTAGGTTTGTTTTTGCTTTAGAAGCATAATCACCCTCTTTATAGGCTAATCAGAAAGTGCTGCCTTTTTCAGATGTATATTTTTCGTGAAATTTCCAGAATCATTTTTACACGTTTTCGTATCAAAATTTCAACATGAAATTTCACAAACAATATACATCTGAAAAAGGCAGCACTTTCTGATTAGCCTATTAAGAGGGTGAGTATGCTTCTAAAGCAAAAAAAATTCAAACTAAGCCTAAATGTGAAAATCAAAATTTGGCAAAGTGCGACACGTTTTTGTACATGTGGCTGTGTGGCCTATGTTTACGGAGGCAGTCCAGTAAATAGGCCACATTTATGGATCTAGCCTATAACAAAAGAGTAATACCTAGCTAGGCCTTGTGTTAAAATTAAATCGGATTTTTTAAATTAGGCGAGCCCTCAAATTAGAATCCCTCCCCGGACCGTTCGGGGTTGAGCCCGCCCAGTATGTTGAAGGGATTGGAACCTTGCATGGAACCGATCGGCCTGGATTAACTCTACCAGGCTTCTGCACCATGGCTCTGGCTCATCACAAAGGAACCAATTTGCGACGCGCTAATCCTCCAGTAGGCAACAATGACTGTGATGAGCTTCATAGAAGTTGCCGCTGGTAATCCCCAGTGGGCTGAATAATCCTCCAACAATGGCCAGACTTCAATTTATGTTTCCTATTGTGAAACCCTGAGTCACCAGTTTGGACCGATTGGGGCGACACGCTTCAGTGACCGGGTGGCTTCTGGCTTCGTACCGATTGGGGTGAAAGAAATTAGCATACCGGACCCGGTACCCGAACGGTCTGTTATCTGATGGGTCGCCTTACTTACCAACATACCACAGGAAAACCAATGCCGACTTTGTAATATCTGTATGAGGATTTCCGGGGATTTGTCTTGGCCTCAACTCTGGACAAGGTCCAAGTTGCTGAATGAGGAGCTCAAATGTACTTTTTTCAAGCCGAAAGTGACTCTTGAAGTCCGTTGGTTCGTACTGCGGGATGGTGTACTCAACGTAATCCTCAACTTTTGGGACGTAGTCCCTACGATTTGTCAATAAATTTACAGCTACCTGGTCGTTTTGACATACTTGTCGATAATTTAGAGCAAATTCGTTTATTCTCTCATCAATTGATCGCACTGCAATGATGCAGCTAATTAATTTTGATCGATGCCTCTCCATTTTCCTGATGAGCAGACGACGTGTTTACATTTCACACTCTTTCATGTCTTTAAAGTTCCCGCCAAACAACATTTGACCTATTATTTTCCCAGCATGCTTAGGTAAAAAACACCGCGGCGTTCGATTAGTCTCGTTTCGTGGCTTCCCCCGGGTGTTACCTCCGGGTAAACACGGGAAGCTAATCGAACGCACCCTATGGTTATAAGTTATAAATACGCAGCGCACCGGTCCCGCATCGGCGTCGGGCGCGGTACGAGTACGCTATGGGCGTTTTCGAATCCCTGTTCTTGACAACACGCGTGTAACACGAGAACGTGTTCTCGAGCTGGTTGTTACGAACGCGCGGGTGCGTGTCGCATCGATATAAAGCAATACAAAATGGCCGACAATTGTCTGAATTTGTACTTAGGCCTATTCCAAATGAACGAGGACTGTTGCAAAACCGGACATGCGGGGATGAAATTGCAGACCTGCACTATAATGGTGTTCTTATTCCAATCATTAGGGTATTAGCCAAAGAAAAACCAACAACACAAAACAACTTACGAATCTGCACAGTCCGCCATTTTGTTCAAGCTGCACCTCGCCGAACCCTCCATCAACCGGGGAGTGAAAAAATCGACCCGCGAGCGCCCTCTCGGGTCTGTTCGTCACGTTCGAGACTGCTGTTCTCGTGTCGGGTTAACCCGAGTGTTGTCAAGAACAGGGATTCGAAAACGCCCTATGTGTTTGTGGGGGATTTAGCGGGTCATACGCGGTAATACGCTGACCTCCCGGCACGCACCCCGTCAGCATATCAGCCGCCTATATTGGACGTATAAATAACGTACTTGCAGCGCAGATACAACGCACGCTGAACGAACTCATAGCGATTGCCGACGTATTGCGTCGGAAGTGCGTCAGGCATGCGGTCGGCATAAGTCGGGTGCGTCCGGAATACGCTCAGCATGCGCACTGCATACTGACCTATTCGCAGCCCGAAAAAATAATGTTGTGCACTGCATACGCAACTCATACGCATCTCATACGCAATGGATTCGCTGAATTCGTTACTTGTACGCTAGATGTGCGTCGCACATAAGTCTAAGTAATCAAACAATTTCGACGTTTTGAGCGTACGGCTGCGTATTGAAAACAAACTTGATAAGGAACTCATAAGGAATTAGGATACGCAAAAGTGTGACAGGGGCTTTTTCATTGTACGGCTGCGTATTAAAAAAATTTGATAAGGAACTCATAAGTAATTGGGATACGCAAAAGTGTGACAGGGGCTTGTAGGATAATGCCCGAAGTATGCGACATTCGTGGGTAAGAATGGCCCGAGGGCAAAGCCCGAGGGCCATTCTTAACCACGAATGGCGCATTGTGTTACCGAGCAGCATTATCTGACTTAAACTCCACCCGTGACATTCCCCTATTTTTTCTAGCGCTCCATTATTAAGCGCAAATGGAGTGATTGTGTTTTATACAAAGACACAATCTGTTTGCTTATTGCGTAACTTTAATATGATTAGTGTAAATGAAACTGAGCAATTGTACTGCAGGGAGTACGCTAACATTATGTTCTTACGTAACCAAGACATTGCTGAATTTTCGGCCTGTTTGGTATAATCGCTAAACCCAACCAAGGCATTCGTTCGTTTTTTTGATAGTGCGTTGATGACACGCCGTGTTTAGTCTCCGTGTTAGATGTGCTTGATGACAGAAGGTGCAGAGTTGACTCTTTACATATCGTCACCGACACCACGAACTGACACCCGGTGGTCAGCGTTGCAGAAATACAAATCGGAGAAAAACGCTTTTAAAGGTTTGACACGAATTTACTCAGTAAAATATTCCATTTATCTGAGAGGTTTTAGTATCACTCAACGTAAAAATGCTTTCACTACTCAATTATAAACGTTATATTGTAAAAATCTGCTTAGTTATACTTAGCAATTAAATGATTAAGATGGGTGTCAGTTCGTGAAAACCAAAATTTACGTGTTTTCGGAGAGTGCGCGCATGCAATAGCGTTCGTGAGTGTCAGTTCGTGAAAACCAAAATTGACCCGTTTTGGGAGAGTGCGCGCACACACTGCGCATGCGTGCGCGCACTCTCCCAAAACGCGTCAATTCTGGTTTTCACGAACTGACACTAACGCTATTGCATGCGCGCACTCTCCGAAAACACGTACATTTTGGTTTTCACGAACTGACACCCTGTGCAGTGTCACTTCGTGGTAACCAAAAATACCAGAATTGACAAATTTCTTGAAAATTCATTAGTAAAATTCGCTTATTTTAGATGATTTCAGCAATTTTAACCTCGTCATGTTAAACTTCATGATACAAACTGCTAATATGTGCAAAAAAAGAAAATTTGAATTTTTAATTTTTTTGTACACATGTGATGCAGAGGGTGTCAGTTCGTGGTGTCGGTGAGATATGAAGACACCCTGATGCAGCCGGCAGGGGAAAATAAAGCCCCTCATACAATTTAAGCCAAAGGCAGATACATCAGCGTTAACGTTCTGCTGTGCACAGTGCAGTAGAGACTGTCACTTCCGCATTTGGGCTCTAGAGCCACAGCAGACGTTGTGCCTGGCTCGTCTTATCTACCAGTCCAGTGGCAGAGACTCCATAGTCCCCAGTGACTGATGAATGCCAATAGTGAAAGTCAACTTACGGGCCCCTCCCACTCGAAAGACTTTTAAAAAGAATGGTCGTCCTGTCGGCAAAATGTTGTGTCTCTCGGCAAATGTTATATGTTGCATCGATCACCTATTGTTGCAACGTCACCTAGTATCATATGATTAAAGATCGTCAACTTTGCAGAATGTCTCAGATAGTCAGATGTTGCCCCCCACCGTAAACAAACGCCCGCATATACGCCGATGGATCAAGTTACCACTATTCTTGCAGCTGGAGCAAAGGCTTACAAGCTCCACCCAGTGGTTTGAAATTAACATTGTCCACCTCTCAGATGGATTGCAAGGCTAGACTAACCAGCTATGGCTGTATGCAAAGGAATACATTTAACTCAGAGTTGCTCACCTAATCGGTTGCCGTCCACGGTTGCTGTGGGAGTTTTCCTTGCGCTTGGTAGATAATCATCGAAGCCTATAAGAGCTCAACCGAACAGGTGAAATATGGACAGGGTGACGGGGACATGTTTCAACCTTTGTTCGAAAAATACGATTCATAGGACTTGAATCATGGGCGTCGCCAGGATTTTTTTCTAGAGGGGGGAGGGGGCAAAACATATTTTTGCCCAAAAAATTCCTGTATTTTTCAAGATATTCTCGATTTCTCAGTTTTAGAGGAGGGGTGGGGCAGGGACATTTTGCCCCCCCCCCTCCCGAACTCAAATTTACACCACTATGACTTCGCGCATCTTGGTTTTTTTTTCTCTCTCTGCTTATTAAAAATACAGATGGCACTTTCCCTTACATACTGTCACGCTTTCTGTCCTAGCTCAACTTCGTCTAGTGGGAGGCAAAACAAGAAGTCAGGGACGTCTTGAGATCTTCCTCAATGGTGAATGGGGCACGGTGTGTGATGACGCGTGGGACTTAGAAGACGCCCAGGTGGCTTGCATGCAGCTCGGCTTCCCTGGCGCTTCCGAGGCTACCCAAGGTGGTTATTTTGCTCACGGAACAGGGCAGATACATCTGGATGATGTCGCCTGTGCTGGGTATGAAAGTGACCTGCTTTCCTGTCAGCATGAAGGAATTGGGATTCACAACTGTGGGCACAGTGAAGATGCAGGAGTCATTTGTAACCTCCGAGGTAATGCATTGGTTTTACTTGAGATGTCATCATAAACACATTATCGAGGGATGTAGCACTTTGTATCGTGTATCAGAGTTGAATTAAGATATATTGGAGAAAAAGTACGTATGTTTACAAAATGGATGTGGTTAGACAGACATTGGTTTCTGTGCGATATTAAGACTTTCTTAACAAATGTGCCATGCTCAACTAAATGTGTTTATCCTGTGCTTTATTTGGAGTATTTCTGTTTTGATACAGTTCGTTTGGTAGGTGGTACCAATTCTATGGAAGGTCGCGTGGAGGTGTTATTAAACGGTGCCTGGGGGACGGTCTGTGATGACTCCTGGGACCTGAATGACGCAACAGTTATCTGCCGGGAACGGGGTTATGTAGGGGCGTGGGAGGCTCCCGGATCTGCTACATTTGGTGAGGGAGACGGGCTGAACATACTGCTAGATAATGTCGCCTGTCTGGGCAACGAAGAGACAGTGATAAAATGTCAGCACAGGGGATTGGGGATTAACGACTGCAGCCACAGTGAGGATGCCGGAGTTCGATGTTGTAAGTGCTGTAGCATTACATAAATCGAGAAAGTTGTTTTTGGACATAAACTCAGATATGTTTTACTTCTAAGGGTTGTCACAATGTCTGTCAGCAGAAGGTATAAATTGCGTTGATACACAACTTCATTTTTTTTTTTTACTTCGGTATTATATGCACCCGGAGTTAAAATGTTGCCCAGGAATTTCGACGGGAGCCAATCTGTCCAACATTAAAAATTAAAAATAGCCCAGATTCGACTGTTCCTGACAAGATGAAATATTGTGGCGGGAATCTCCCGCTGGGCCTGACAAACGTTTGCTAGGATTCACTCTTGCATCTCTTTTCAAACCGAGTCTTAACTCTAACAGGGCCGGGCAGCGGAATCCGTCCCCCCCCCCCTCAACTTTTTCCGGGACAACCTTGCAATTTTTGTTTTGCAACCCAAGCTGTCCTGAATTGTAGCCTCGAATTTTGCGCGTCTTTTGACACCAAAAACATTAAATTCGGACAATTGGTTGCAGCGCAGCGAAAATGTTTCCGGTGTTAGTAGAATACATGAAGTGTACACAAAATGCAGGATTTCCATTGTGCATATGAATAATTAATTAGCAACAATTCCACAATTTCTTGGGTACGTTTACATCGAGTTGCTGTATGCAGTTTCACAATTTTCGTCACTCGATGATCGAGATCTTGGGGGAAAGTCGCGGAATCCCCCCCCCCCCCCCCCGGCTGTGAGATGGTCAAAATAACCTGGCACTTTTAGGGATAAATGCGAGGGTAATTATCAGCATCCAGACTCCAACCGGTTAATAGCAATGGCAATTAATACCGGCCAAGCACACATATATTCCCATTCATAAAAACCTTTTCCGTAAAAAATAAAACCAAAACTGTTCGGTCCAAAAGTCCAAACAAGACAAAACATTATAAACGCCCAACGATTTTGTTCTACACTTTTAATACCTCGTGCTTTTTTCGAAACATCGCTTTAGCTATATTATGGCATGCCCATGTCGTAACATAACAAGTAAATAGCCACCCTCCATACAAACGTTCACGGTTGAAAAATGCGCTGTATTCACACACAGATGGTTATAGGCTAATGCATACACCCTCGACCCACTGAAACCACAAATCCTAAATGAAACGGTACTGAACACAGTAACTGTACCCCATTAAATTCAGTTTGTCTGCTTTCTGTAGAAACCAAATATTTCTGCTTGTGGACAAGTTTTATGTACGTACTTATCGATTTCAAAACGACAGCAATTGCACTTCGGGCACACTGACTATGTCAGACATCCATTAACAATACATGCGTTTTAGGTGGCCGATTCGCTCGGCCAGATGGCATACGGGGCAGTGTATGTGCCTGTCACTCACAAAGTTTATTCATAAAGTAACTGCACAGCTAGTTGCTGTCAACTCTAGTGAATATTCAAACCAAATTTGAATGAAATTCACAAACTTTTTAGGTACGTACTTTTCAATATTCATAAACCATTAATCAATCTGAAGTTGATCGACTGTATAATCGACCGATAGCCCAATTTTGTCTTGTGTGCGCCGGATGCGCGACAGGGTGATCGTAAGGTCAGAGCCAAATTCTGCTAAATGCACATAAAGATCTGTCAGATTTATTAAAAATCTGCCAAATTCCCCAGAATTACTCGAAATACACTATAAACACCTAAAATCACATGCAGATTGGTAGTATTGATTTAATTAAGGTTCAAATTACTTTATAAACAATCTATAGTCACAAAAAGATGTCATGAAATTATCGCGTAAATTTCGGGCAAAGCGCAGATCCGGCAAAGTCCATTTCCCAGTTAACCTCAGCACCTAGACCAGCCAACCTGTCCCATTATGCAAGGGTTTGTTGAAAGGATTGAAGCTTTTTAAATGAATGTACAATTTTTTGGTTTACATTTGCTGTTTTTCTGTCAAATTACAATTTTTGCAGAAATCTGCCAGAAATCTGCCAAAAAAATTCCATTCCGTCAAATTCTCTGTCATACTCATATTTTTTTACAAAAATTCTGTCAAAGTTAGCCGAAAATCGGCTAAAACGGTCATCGAGTATGACGTCGGCGTCATGAAAATCAGGTGGGTCTATAGTTGCAACTGCGCTGGTGAGAGTGCAGGCCTATGCGGCTGGAAATTCTTCTCTCCCTCCACAGTTGCATTGGAAGGAGGGGGCGTGACTGGTCTTGTATGGGTTGTTGATGCTTTCTCAGCCGCCTAGTCTCTGCTTGCTGGTTGCGTCGAGACTCGGCAACCAGAGAGCCTTGCTTAACAGCATGACGCCAATCTGGTCTGCACTTGGCTATGGACTCTCATTCTGACAGTGTGTCCGGTTCACTTGAGTTGTCTAGTCTAGTCATAAGGATGGTTTCTACACTAGGCATGTTTGCACGTTCAAGGACCTCTACATTTGGTACACGGTCTTTTGATTCCAAGGATCGACCGGACATGTCGCAGCTGGATACTGGTGAGTTTGTTGATGTGCTTTCTATAGAGGGTGTAGGTCTCAGCGGAGTAGAGGAGGCAAGGCAACACTACAGCCCTGTACACACTAACTTTGGTGGCAGGTTTGATGCCCCGTTGTGACCATAGCTTCTTCCTGAGACAGCCGAAGGCACCTGACGCCGAGGCGATTCTTGCTGCCAGTTTCGCGTCAAGGCTGTTGTCTTTGGTCACTGCGCTACCAAAGTAGATGTATTTGTCAAAGGCGTTCAGGAAGGTGTCGTTGATGTACACCTCAGGTTTCCTGTAGGCTTCCCCAGGAGGTGGTTGGTGCAAGACCTCGGTTTTCTTAATGTAATTGTGAGACGGAAACCCATGCTGATATCAGCAAATTTTGAGATGAGGTGCTGGATGGCAGGCAAGGAGTGTGCTACGAGTGCACTATCATCGGCGTAGAAGAGCTCGCGCACACAAAGTAGCGACGTCTTTGATTTGGCACGCAGCCGTTGGAGATTAAACAGCTGGCCGTCAGATCTAGTAGTGATATTGACTCCCTCATCAACTTCCTTGGAAAAAATCTCCAAAACAGCCGTAAGGAAGATAGTAAACAGTGTTGGAGCCATAACACAGCCCTGTTTGACACCTTTGGATACTGCAAATAGTTGTGATGTTGAACCTAATGTTGCAACCCGCGCCTGCATACCATCGTGGAACTGTTGGATCAACGTAATGAGTTTTGGGGGACATCCATACTTTGCTAGGGTCTTCCAGATAGCCTCTCGACAGATTGAGTCAAATGCTTTGGAGAAGTCCACAAAGACAATGAATAAAGACAAAAGTTGTTCTATTACCTTCTCCTGAATCTGCCGAAGTGTGAAAATCATGTCTGTGGTGCTGCGACTGCTGCGGAAGCCACATTGGGTGTCTGGAAGGATTGATTCACTGATGGACTGCAGTCGCTTGAGAAGCATTTTCCCCAGGATTTTCCAAGCGATGGAGAGCAGGGAGATGCCTCTGTAACTGTTGCAGTCCTGGCGGTTTCCTTTGCGTTTGGAGATTGGGACAATCTTAGCATTTCTGAAGGCTTGTGGGATGTGCTCATCCTTCCAACAGTCTACAAACAGGTCATGTATAACGTGAAGTAGGGGGTCCCCTCCATGTTTATAGATCTCTGCTGGAATCCCGTCCAGGCCTGGTGCCTTGCCATTTGCCATAGCCTTAACAGCATCTACACATTCCTTCATAGTCGGACGACTGCTAAGATGTTCTAGTATTGGGTGTTGGTCCACAAGTTGCAGGAGGTTCTTCTCACCGTAGAAGGCCTGTTGAGGAGAGCCTCAAAATGATCCTTCCAGCGGCTAAGAATATCTGTCTGCTCTGTTAGCAGGGTGGTCTCATCTGCGGATAGTACATGGCAGGCTGATGAACCACAGGGCCCATATGTGGTTTTCAGGGCGGCATAGAAGCTTTGAGGGTTGTTTTTTACTGCCAACTCTTGACTGTCACCAGGAGTTCTGCATGCTTCGAAGTTGGCGCTGGAGAGCAGCCTTTGCTTTGTTAAATTCCTGTTTGGTTGTGGGACAGTCAGGATTCAGCAGGCATTTGGTTCTAGCTGTGCGGGTTGCAGAAAGAAGGTCGTGGATGTTACTGTCATTTTCATCAAACCAATCTGCATGTCTACGGTTAGGGTGCCCAAGTGATGAGGATGCTGCATGATTGATTGTTTCCTGGAGAGTGTGCCAGCGGTCCTCCACATTGGTACTTTCTGTGTCTGCTCTGTAAGATTCAAGCGCATGGCTGATGCTTTCCTGGAAGTGCTTTTTAGCACTTACGGAGCCAAGGAGAGACACCTTGAGCTTCTTCTGAGGTTTTGTTGCTGTTTTGGCCTTCTTGGTATGAAGATGCAGCTGAAACCGGGCTCGAATTAAGAGGTGATCCGTGAAACAGTTTGCACCTCTCATGGATCGGGTGCTGCGAGAGTCCTGCAGATCACGCCTTCTTGTAAGGACATAGTCTAGTAAGTGCCAGCGTTTGGATCGCTGGTGTTGCCAGGAATTTGTCCGGTACTTGATAAAAGGTTTTGGTAATGACAGGGTCATGTTCCTTGCACAGTGGAAGAAGGAGCTGCCCATTAGAGTTGTAATTCCCTCGTCCAAATTTGCCAAGGATTGGCCGCCAGACTTCATGGTCTCCTCCAACTCTGGCATTGAAATCTCCGAGGATAATTATGTTTTTTTGCAAGTGGAAGACGAAGTGTCATTAACATGTCATTTACTGCTTTGGGAAGCTCAGGGAGCTGATTAGCTAATGAGTTTTGGATCGCGAAGCCAACTCCAGCCTCTCTGCGCTCGTCTTTGTCTCTGCTGCTTCAGAAAAAAATGTGTAGTTCTTCTCTCTTAGGGAATCTGTAAGAGAAATCCTCGTTTCTTGTAGGACTGCAATGTCTATGGCATATCTCAGCAGCTCTCTGTCCACTATAGCTGTACATCTCTCTGGGAGGTTACTTGCTTTTGTTTCTAGTAGGGTTCTGACATTCCATGATGCCAGCGATAACTGTCTTTGTTTCCTTGCAATCCGAGAATTCTTCCCACTGAGATGGAGACCCGCTGTCCGTGGGCAGCCAGCCATTGGGGCTTCCTTTTATTGGGGCTTTCTGGGAATGCAGGGAGGCAGTGTGGTCCCTAAAGAGGGCTGCCTCGTCGCTAGGGAAGGACCTTACCCTCTATTGCCCTCTCGAAAGGTGCGGCCATCATTCCCTAGCCGCTTGCGTGCAGAGCGTAGACTGCCAACTTCCAGCATCTCACGCCTGTTGACACCGCCATTACTCCATCGCCACAAGACTTTTGCCGTTCTCTTCACACCGACAAAATCTTCTTGTCGCCGTCCGCTTGTGCCAAAGTGTAAAGTGATTGTCTACGTTGCACTGGGGTAGCATCACTCTCTGGGTTCCTACTTTCTGAGTCCAACGGAGAGCAAGAGCCCGACGGTTGGAGAAAGTAGCAACGGCCCCGCAGTATCTGTGAGTGATTTTCTGCCACAGATAAGACCGAACCTGCCATTGGCGTCGTAGAGAAGCTCATCTGCCAGGGAGACGGTACCATCACCACTGCTGCCTAGTGAGGGGTGTTAGATTGGAGTTTGCCTTCTCCTAGGTGGGTTGCCGACCATAACTGACGAGTCCCACCTGCCTGGGTTTGGAATCGGAGTATGCCTTCTCTTAGGTGGACTGACTACCAAGTCTAGCGAGCCCCACCTACCCGAAATTGGCTGTATGTAAATGAAAAGATGATATCAGAGCTCATTAAAGTTTGTCACCTCGCCCGTGCGTACTTGTTGTAACGAACGACTCATTATTTGGCCACATGACGGGTTCTCGACCAATATGAGTGGGTAAACTGTCTAAGGTATTTATGAAAGATTGTAAACTCTCTGTTTATTGTACAATAAACCTGTCAAAGGCACCTTGACACTTGAACAGACCTGTCGGAACAAGCAATACAACTTATTCAGCAATAATCAATAACCGAACTGTTATTTGACTTTATTGGGGTGGTTGTTTTATTATAGGGGTCCTTTTTAATAATACGTTAGTAACATGTGTGTAACATGTGTAGAGCCACACTTCAAATGTCAGATATATCAGTGCACAAAAACCAATTTAGTTTGCTCTACCAGCAAATGGTGGAATTTGCATTTAACGATTCGCAAAGAGTATGAACTTAATTTTCGCGACTATTCAATTTGTTTTATCGCACTGCTAATTTTTTTCGCGCTCGGTGCACGAATTCGCAAGATGAAATTCGTTTTGCATTTGCATTCGCATGAAGTATTAACTGGGCGTTACTCCAGCCTTTTGCATCTGTTGGACGCCGGAGCTTTTGGAAGTTAAAACGCCTCACTTTGCACTTACATTGCAAAAAACAAACGTCTTAAGAAGAATGTTATTGATCTAATCTTTATTCCAAAAAAAGTCTTTTGCAAAGTTTGTCCAATTGGCTTGTTGTGTAAATAATCCCTGTCAAGGAGCTGAGATATGAAAGAGGAAAATATCCTCAAGCGACACCGTTTTCTGGATTTTGAACACTCCATGCACGTAGAAAAGTGAACAAAATGTTGACAAATTAACTCCAAAAATGACTAGACAAGTTATCTTCATTTTTCCGTTTTTGGATTAGTTTCTCCACAACCAGGTAAACATTGGTAATTATCCTCTTAACAGTCGTGAGGTTGTTTCAGGTGACTCGGCGCACACACACGCGCTGTTTGCTCGTTGATATTTTTTTCCAAAATACATGTAACTAAGAAACTAGTTCCCTTGCTAACAAGTGTTAAGATATTTGTGTCACTTACACTCATTTACACTGGCACGAACCGGATCCAGACCCTAAACAGACGAAGCTTATTTGCGGTGGCTCCGCCATCCAATATACACGTTACCGTCTATAAAATGTTTAGTATATATTAAACGCTTCATAAATTAAATCTAAGAAGTTTTAGATAACACCACTGTTGTGAAAACTGAGGGGAAAAAATAAAGGAAAAAAATATCAAATTTTTAAAAAAGGAATCAAACAAAGACAGATGAAAAATTGTTCAGTGCAATGTGCTCTGATCAGTAAAACTGCAGTCTTGACCAAGGCTGTCGAGCCTGTTCCCCAAATTGCTTATTCCCGCTACCACAAACCGTACCGCACGTCACGCACACTACTAGTTGTACTACCGTAAAGCCCGGTTCATACTCGGCGCTGAAGCGAAAGCGAACGCGACGTCGTGTCAAGTATTCGCGCTGCGAATTCGTAAAAGTTGAGCACATTTCAACTCGGTCGAATTTCGCAGCGAACGTTTCATGACGTCAAATTCGCTTCGCATTCGCATTCGCGTGGAGTATGATATACGCCGCCACCGTATCTGCCCGTGACATTCAGACAGCGAATGTAAGGGACAGGTCAGCTCGTACCCGTGTCAAATTGTACCCATTCAATCGAATGCAGGTACCTATAAGTCATTTCGTACCCACCTCAGTGTATGAATTAACTTCAAGAAACTAGTTTAACTTATCAGTTTTTAATTTGACACCGGGAAACTGTAATAGAAAACTAATTTTACATTGAGATTTCCTAATACGTAACATACGACATCAATTCTCGGAAATTATTTTTTCTCCGATTTCCACCTTAGTCGATCTACGTCTGATTGGCGGTAGCACCAGTAACGAAGGCAGACTTGAAGTTCGCCTGAACGGCGAATGGGGCACGGTGTGTGATGACTTGTGGGATCTAGATGACGCCCGGGTAGCTTGCAGGCAGCTCGGCTTCCCTGACGCTACCGATGCTACTCAGGGAGGGTCATTATTTGGAAGTGGAAGCGGCTCAATTCTCCTGGACAATGTTGAGTGCACTGGTCTCGAGAATAACCTGCTGAGTTGTCAGCAAAATGAGATTGCTGACCATGATTGTTCTCACAGCGAAGATGCAGGAGTCGTTTGTAATAACATGGGTACGTACTTATTCGCTAGTATATTTAAAGTTGTCCGCACATGTGGAATTGGTTATGTATTTCAGATTGTTTTCGAGTTTTCGCCATTTGAAGGCTGGAAAGCTCCATAATACAACTAAAATGGGTGACGAGGGGGACTGAATAAATATGATAAATCTGGAAATGATTTGTGAGTTTTATCATCAGTCGGAGGGAGTAAATACTTTTAACTCATTTCGTTCGAATTTTTCATCACGACAGGTTAAAGTTATAATAAAGGTCTCGCCACTACCCCAAGTTATGAAATATGCGTGCAGTTATTTTCAGGCCAGTGATATATTTCGTCACTTCTGGTATTCTTTATGTGCTTCTTTGATTTCCACAGGTGGTCAGGTAACAAAGAAACAAAATCGTTATCTGGAGAGTGTGTTTCTAATGTGACATCACAGCCAGAACGTCCTCAGTTGTCTGGAAAAGCATGGAATGATTTTGATATATCAAAAACGTTTAGGAAAAAAGTGATGTCTCTATTTTTGGACACATTTCAGAGGAACAGATTAATGCCACAAAAAGGCATCAGACTGAGTGTAAAATTCATTTCATTGCCCTTTAATAACTGAGTACACTCACTGTAACATAGGCGCCGTAAATGCACGTGTTGCGAGCCTTAAAATTGTTACATTATATGTGTTTTGCTGGCGAGATCTGTAGCTGCCAGCAAGGCTCTGTGTACTTAGAACTTAGAACTTGCAGCCAGCCCATAATTATATCAAGCCGAAGAATTTGTAATACGAAATCTGGCTCCGTCTCCAGCTCCGGCTTCATGCTCCTGCTAGCTCCATAAAATGATTTAGGTCCCCTGACTCGACAAATTGCCTTTTCTTTACACGAAAAGCGCTATCCAACTATTTTGTTACACAGGGCCCATTGTTTGTATATTTTCATTAGGTTGGAGCATGAAAACATTGTTTCGATTTAGGAATCACGGGCTAGTAGTGAAACCGAAAATGGTGAGAACATCGTCCCTCGATCCGGGATTATTTGTCCGTGCCGCGGCGGTAGAGAGAACTAGCAACAATTATGAATCAAATCCAGTCCTCGTAAAACGTAGATTGTAAACATTCGCACAACTATACGTTGAGACTTGTGCAGAAATTGACTTTCTAAGAATGTACTACTGTTTCAGGACGGATAGCCACGACTGTACTAAGGAATCTCCACGAATACACCACGGTTTGTCAAGAATATGGACGGATTGTTGAAGAATATCGACTAAGAACTAGACATATGTTTGTGGACAAACATAGGGCTGTTTCGGTAGCTTTTTGTGACATGTGATATGTGTTCCATCAACGAAGGATGTGTAGTTCTGTTTATAATAAATGGTGGCATATAATATGTGATTTCATTCTCATAGGGCTTTGAATTATGACGTCACATGTCACGTGATGACGTCATGATTACGTCACATAAAGTTTCATCTATTACTATAATATTAAGGTAAAGAACAACTTAGCCAGAGCAAACATCGTTGAAAGCAAGTTCACGTCTTTCACCAATTTTAAATTACAAAGCACTTCCGGTTTCAACCAGAAGAAAGGGTCACGTGATTTATTTGCACATATTTAAAATATGAAGACCCTCGATAATTCTATCAATTCCCGCAAAAATCATGATCAGGTCTCTCACGGTTGATTTTATACTGATTTTTAAAGATTAAATCTATTAATCTTTAACGAGACGTCACGTAACCCATGATGACGTCATCATGACGTCACTTCAATTTTCATCTATAACACATCCCGGTTTAGGTACATACCAACTTTCAATCCAATCGGACAGGTGGTTCTGTAGATATTAGCCTTCGAAATATGCACGTTTAGTAAGACGTCACATGTCACGTGATGATGTCATCGTGACGTCACTTCAATTTTCATCCATTATACATTCCGGTTTAAGTACATACCAAGTTTCAACCCAATCAGACCTGTAGTTCTGTAGATATTGGCCTTGAAAATATGCACATTTGATATGACGTCACATGTCACGTGATGACTAAATCATGACGTCACTTAAATTTCCATCTAAAACACATTCCAGTTTAGGTGCATTCCAAGTTTCAACCCAATCAGACATGTAGTTCTGTAGATATTGGCCTTCAAAATATGCAATTTTTAATATGACGTCACATGTCACGTGACGACGTCACATCACGTGATGACGTCATCGTAACATCACTTAAATGTTCATCTACCACGCATCCAGGTTTAGGTACATACTAAGTTTCAACCCGATCGGACCTGTAGTCATGGAGATAAAGGCCTTCAAAATATGCACCTATATTGTGACGTCACATGTCACGTGATGACATCATCGTGACGGCACTTGAATTTTCATGTAAAACACATTCCAGTTTAGGTGCATTCCAAGTTTCAACCCAATCAGACCTGTAGTCATGGAGATCCTTCTCGGCTGAAGTTCAGAACTACTCAGTAAGATATCAGTGTTGTATAGGAAAAGACTTGTGGAAAATCCCACTTCAGAAAAACTGCACCTTTAAATACGTAACATAGGGCTTTTCGGCATTATGATTTTTTAGTATACGTCCCTGACTATGCACATGCATAAACATAAAATCTGTCAAAGTTAGCCGAAAATCGGCTAAAACGGTCACTGTGATGTGGACAGGATTTGACCTCGGCAACACGTGCTCTGCAGGCTAACTGACATACGATGTACAAGTACATGTATGTGCGTAACGTACGTGTATGTACATATAGATGTTCTGTGCATGTTTTAGAGCAGAGGTATTGTCAGCCTGAAGTTTTAAGCGTGCGCAGGGCATGTCCGAGTTCGCTTATTGCCTCAAAGCTTTGAAATGTTTTAGACCTACCCTTAAATCGACAATTAAAGTAAAAACTAACATAAAACCTGCCATGGTTGATTTTTCAGGAATTTTCAAATGAAAAAGGGTCTTTTTATTATAACTTCCGGTCTGATGACGTCATACCTATGTTCCCAATACTGATGTTCCCCGAAATCCTTAGGATTAGGGCTAGGGTTAGGGCTAGGGCTAGGGTTATAGGGTAAGGATTTCGGGGAACATCGGTATTGGGGAACATAGGTATTGGGGAACATAGGTATGTACCCGTCCTACAGATGTCCCACGGTTGCACTACGGATTTATTTACACGACGATTCACCACGAAAGTTTAGAATTGTTTAAAACTTACGTAGCCCCTCCCCGAATACCAAAGGAAGATAACGGCTAACCACGGATTTACTAAGGATAAATACGGTACTCCCACGGTTGATCACGCATTTTAACCCGAAAGGGGCCGGGGTGGCGGAATCCGCCCCCCCCCCCAAACATTTTCTGTGATAGCCTCTAAAAAAAAAATCGCGACCCGAGCTGTTATGACTTTTTAGCCTCGAGCTTTGCGCATCTTTTGATACCAAAAACATAAAAATCGGACCTCGGGTTGCCGCGTAGCAAAAAAATTTCTGCGCTACGCGCCGTGAAAACTGAATTTTCGCATATACGTCGTGTACACAGAGCAGAATTGCCATTCGTACATATGAATAATTAATTAGCCATAATTCCAAAACCCTTTGACCTATAGTCATGAAATTTCTGGGGTAAGTTTAGGAAGAGTTGGTCTATGCATGTGCTGAGTTTCAAATGTTTTCGTCACTCGATGGCCGAGATCTTAGGGGGGGGCGGAACCCCCCCCCCCCCGGCTGAGAGATGGTCCAAATAACCGGGCCCCTTTAGGGTTAAACCGTAGATATATGTAGCTCCAAGCCGTGAATGTGTGACAGCATGCATGGGCTTTATAACTGTCACTCGAAGGAATTTCAGGATACAGGATTGAGTCCTAATAATCGAGCCGATGGAGCACTATTTGAATTAGTGCACTTATGCAAATATACTGTACTATTTTTGTTGCTGTGGGACCCGATTTCCTAGAGAGAATTTGCACTTGCATTGCATACTGACTTCGACAGCGGCTTTTGTTCATGTTTCGAATACCTTTTTTCCGCTGCTGTAAAAAGTAAATAGGCAATTAAGGCAAAGGCTATCGCGTTAGTTATAAAACCAACGAGATTTTCTATATTTTCTTTGTAAATATAAAATATCATGTGGCTTTTTCATGTTGCCCAAACCTTCGGTTTACTATGGTTTACTGCGATTTTCGGCTGCCTGTTTTTAAATCTTAAGTATTCTTTCACGCTCAAACCGAATGCAACTACAACAACACTTGGCCTTGCGTATTACATGTCTGGTGTTTCTATGCTAAAGAAAAGGGAGTTTCTCATGTCAGGAGACGCAAATCATGGAGCTAGAGTCGAAAACCGAAGCTGGAGACGAAATCGAGTTTGCATATTGCAAACTTTACGTCTAAAACAGATTTTTCTCATGTTTTCCTAATGACAACGACTATATACAAGTATTTGTTGTCTTTGCTCGATTCTTGTTGTCACAGTTAATTCATCAATCCCATTTTCGAATAAAATAAATTAAAATGAAATTCAGTGAAATGGGAGAACTATAGAGGGAAGACGAGGGCGTAAGGTCCAAATTAGAATATGTGTCCGATGAAATAACCTCAAAGGTGTCTCTCCTAAAAACTGCCAACATTATATTTCCACAGGCATACTCCGTCTTGTTGGTGGTCATAGCGTTGCAGAGGGCCGACTAGAGATTGATCTGAACGGTGAATTGGGCACAGTCTGCGACGACTCCTGGGGACTAGATGACGCCAAGGTGGCTTGCTTAGAGTTGGGCTTTCCTGGTGCCGCCGAGGCTACACCAGGCGGGTCTTATGGAAGTGGAAGCGGACCCATTCTTCTTGACGATGTCATGTGTTCTGGATTTGAACTTCAGTTGCTCTCTTGTCCGCACAGTGGAATTGGAGTCAATAACTGTGGTCACAGTGAAGACGCAGGAGTCATTTGTCAACCTCGAAGTAATACATTGTGTGACCTAATTTTGTACCCCAATACTCATCAGAATATCCCTGTCAAAAGGCTGGATTCTCCTTTGTCAATCCAGACAACATTTCGATATGTTCCATATCGAACAAATTAATTTATGATTTTGCCTACGAGCAGGTTCTTCGATTCGCGCACCGACCAGAAACGGGAGAAACGTTGGTTTATTGTTATGTAGATTATTGTTTTGTAGACATAAAAATAAGTACCGTTTATTTTAATCACAGTTCATCTGGTAGGTGGTTCCAGTCCCAACGAAGGCCGTGTGGAGGTGTATGAGAATGGTGCCTGGGGAACGGTCTGTGATGATGGCTGGGATCTAACCGATGCAAATATTGTCTGCCGGGAATTAGGCTACGATGGAGCAACTGAAGCATTAGGAGAAGCAGCCTTTGGTCAGGGTGACGGGCAGGAGATACTTCTGTCTTCTCTTAACTGCGTCGGTAGCGAGCAGACAGTGGTAGATTGCGAGCACCCGGGACTTGGGATTCACTCTTGCGGGCATGGCGAGGATGCCGGAGTCCGATGTGGTAAGCTGAAAATAAATCGGAGAGCGACGATATAGAGAAGTATCCTCACATTTTAAATTGTTAACCGAATTTCAATTGTATTCTGTTATTTTTTTCCCTGTTTATTAAGCCGATGGCTGTATGCTCACCGTCAACGCATCCGATGTCCTGATGGTGGTATCTAGTTATCAGTCTGTATACCTTCCTGGTGAAACGATTGAGTATGCCTGCCCCGACGGATATCACATCAGCGGGTCTGCTTCACGGTTCTGTCAGTCTGACTTAACATGGTCTGGACAGCCAGCTGAATGCATTACAGGTCTTATTTACAAATCCTTGCAGTCTTTATTTCTTAGAAACTTGCCCTCATTCAAGTCAGACTAAGTTTTTGAAATAAGAACAAATCTTATGGCCATACAGGAGCATCAATACTCTTTGTCAAAAATTGACTATAGCAGTCTTTATTTCATTTCATGTATGCATCCATAACAATATCTAATGTAGTCAATAGTGTGTCTGCTATTGGGGAAGAAGTTAAAAAGAAACGTGCATCGGAATACTGGCAAGTCAAAAGATCTACCTTTTGTAATGTTTTTTTTTACCTTGCCCCACCCACCCACAATTGTTTGACATTATCATTTTCCCATAAAATAGACTCGTGTGTCGCTGGACCTTGTGTGAACGGGGGTACGTGCACTAGTGCACCCGGCGAGTACACTTGCCTATGCCCTGCAGGGTACGACGGGATGACGTGTGAAAATGGTAAAACAGTTATTTCAGTACTCTTGTTATTAGGTTTTTACAATTACATGTACTCACCGAACTATTTAAGGTTAGTCGGTTGCTACTGTTTCTCTGAATGTGGGGACGTTCGACTACGTTCCAAAGCAACCATCACAGTCGTGCGTATTCAAAATAGGAACAAATATCAGTTTAGTTTGCATAAAACAATTTAGCGTGCAAAATGGCTAAGTTCGTTTTAAAAATTACAAATGTACTTTATGTGATCTTACTGTTTGTTTGCTTGTTTGTTTGTTGTTTGTTTCTTTATGATAAAGTAACAAAAAGATACATTCCTGAGAGTATTATTGTGAATTTTGTATCGTCAGTTGCCAACTGCGAGCTGATCTTCAACTCATCCGATGTCCTCATCGTGGTGTCCGGTAATCGGACTGTATACCTTCCTGGTGACTCAGTCGAATATGCCTGCCCTGACGGATATCATCTCAGCGGGTCCGCTACAAGATATTGTCGGTCAGACTTCACGTGGTCTTCGCCGGTTGCCGTATGCAATCAAGGTAAATATTTCAAATAAGTGTATTTCTCTAAAGTAGCTGAAAAGCTTTAAAAAGATAAAAACAAACCTGGATTGCAAAGAGCAATGCACATGCTTTTACCTATCTCACTTTGCAAAAGGTTTGACTGTTTGTCATTAGTGGAGTTGGGCAACGTTTGATGTATTTTTTAGTTATGTGGTAACTCCAGCACTTCAGAATCGGCACTTGTAATAACATCACCTCCCCTTCTCCCCGTTTCCCCATTTTTAAATAATAAAGTTAAAATAAACATTTTTAAAATACTAAAAAGTAACTATTTTTTTAGACAGCTTCAATCCCCAGAACCAAACTTGTAATTCTTATATTCCACAATATATGCTGTTTTCAATGACGAATTTTATTTTGGCATGCAATCAGTTTTTGATTGTCTTCTGAATCAGGTCAGTGTGACGAACTGATATAGTCTGCAGTTATATTTGATGTGTACAACTGTGTAGAAAAAAACCCCACATTTTCGCACTTGAGTGAGATTTTTTTTCTTTCTCAAGCTATATGACAGGACTGAGCATAGAGAGCTCATATAACTACATTGCGGAAGGGCAATTACCAGAATTAAAATGTTTATGTTTCCTACAAAATTTCGATCGTTCAAAAATAAACAACACAATTTAAACATGAATTCTTTGACAATTATTTGAGTCTACCTTCAGCCAAGTTTCAACTGATAAAAATTGTTGTACCTTTCATTTCTGAATTATAAAATACAAGATCAGAAAACAAACCGATTCGCCAAAAGGTTTTTCAAGTTGGACGACTGTTTCTTTAAGTCTGACGACACTTAATTGCTGAATGCAATAAAGGTTAAGTGTTCTTTTTATAAAGGCCAATTCTTGATCAAAAATGAAAAAGAATGATACAAGCGACAGGATGAGACGTTAGTGTGTCTCCTAAGGATTAATAGTTTCTTAATCCGCAAAAAAGAAACATTGCAGAAAAACACATTGTTAACGTTAAAGGGGCCAGGGGCGGTATCCAGCCCCTCAAATTTTGCCGGAATAGCTTTAAAAATAATTTTCTTTCGCGACTCCAGCTGTTCAGACTTTTTAGCTTTGAGCCTTGCGCATCTTTTGATACCAGAAACATAAAAATCGGTCAACTGGTTGTCGCGCAGCGAAAAATTTCCGGCGCCGTGAAAACTGAATTCCCCATATTTGTAGTGTACACAGAGGTTAATTACCATTCATGCATATGAATAATTAGTTAGCCACAATTCCAAGACCCTTTTACGTGTAGTCATGAAATTTCTTGGGTATGTTCATGAAAAGTTGTTCTATGCATGTACCGAGTTTCAAAATGTGTTGTCTCTCGATGGCCCAGATCTTAGGGGGGAGCGGATTCCCCCCCCCCCCCCCGGCTGAGAGATGATCAGATAGCCTGGCCCTTTTAGGGTTAACCCTGCGAAAACAGTCATTTCAGTTCTCTTTGTTATTAGGTTTTTTACAATTAAATGTACTCACCGAACTATTTAAGGTTAGTCGGTTGCAACTGTTTCTTTTATTGTGAGGACGTTCGACTACGTTCCAAAGCAATCATCGCAGTCGAGTATTGACAGTGTAAAATAGTAATGTTCATCTTTGACAGTGATAAATGTACTTCATATGATCTTACTGTTTGCTTGTTTGTTTGTTTGTTTGTTTGTTGTGTATTTCTTTGTGACAATGTAACCTAAAGATAAATCCCTGAAAGTGTGTTAAACTGTATGTGATAAAATTGTATGTGATAAAATTTGTATCGTCAGTTGCCAACTGCGAGCTGATCTTCAACTCATCCGATGTCCTCATCGTGGTGTCCGGCAATCGGACGGTATACCTTCCTGGTGACTCAGTCGAATATGCCTGCCCTGACGGATATCATCTCAGCGGGTCCACTACAAGATATTGTCGGTCAGACTTCACGTGGTCTTTGCCGGTTGCCGTATGCAATCAAGGTAAAGATTTCAAATAAGTGTATTTCTTTAAAGTAGCTGGAAAGCTTTAAAAAGATAAAACAAACCTGGATTGCAAAGAGCAAGGCACGTGCTTTTACCTATCTCATTTTGCAAAAGGTTTCACTGTTTGTCATTAGCAGTGGAGTTGGGCAACGTTTGATGTATTTTTTAGTTTTGTGGTTACTTCAGCACTTCAGAATCGGCACTTGTAATAACAACACCTCCCCTTCTCCCCCTTTTCCACATCTTTAAATAATACAAAAAAAATTAACATTTTTAAATACTAAAAAGAAACTAATTTTTCAGACAGCCTCAATCCCCAGAACCAAACCTGCAATTCGTATATTCCACATAATAATATGTGCTGTTTTCAATGACTAATTTTTTGTGTGTATGCAATCAGTTTTTTATTGTCTTCTGAATCAGGTCAGTGTGACAAACTGATATAGTTTGCAGTTACTCTGTGTAGAAAAAACATTATCGCACCTGAGTGAGATTTTTCATTTTCTTTCTCAAGCTCTCTAACAGGACTGAGCATAGAGAGATCATTTAATTACATTGCGGAAGGGCAATTACCAGAATTAAAATGTTCATGTTTCCGACGCAATTTCGATCATTCTAAAACGAACAACACAATTGAAACACGCATTCTTTGATAATTATTTGAGTCTACATTTAGCCAAGTTTCAACTGATAATAATTGTTGATCCTTTCATTTCTGAATTTTAAAACACAAGATCAGAAAACAAACCGATTTGCCAAAAGGTTTTTCAAGTTCGACGACTTTGTTTTTTTCAGTCTGACGACACGTTATTGCTGAATGCATTAAAGATCAACTATCCTTTAATAAAGGCCAACGTCTTGACAAAAAAATGAATAAGAATGATACATTCGACACTGAGGATGAGACGTTAGTGCGTCTCCTAAGTATTAATGGTTTCTTAATCCTCCAAAAAGAAACATTGCATAAAAACACATTGTTAACCCTAAAGGGGCCGGGGGCGGTTTCCGGCCCATCAATTTTTTCCGTGTTAGCTTTCACAATAATTTTCTTTCGCGACCCAAGCTATTCTGAATTTTTAGCCTCGAGCCTTGCGCATCTTTTTATACCAAAAACATAAAAATTGGACAACGGGTTGTTTCGCAGCGAAAAATTTTCCGGCGTTACGCGCCGTGAAAACTGAATGTCCCCATATACGTATACACAGAGGTTAATTACCATTCATGCATATGAATTATTGATTAGCCATGATTCCAAAACCCTTTGACGTGAAATTTCTTGGGTATGTTCATAAAGAGTTGTTCTATGCATGTACCGAGTTTCAATTGTTGTGTCTCTCGATGGCCGAGATCTTAGGTGCTGCAGAATCCCCCCTCCCCCCGGCTGAGAGATGATCAGAATAGCCCGGCCCTTTTTGGGTTAATGGCAAAGATCTTATTATTTCTTTCAGTTATGGCTGCCCCAGCAAAATTTTCCTTGCCGGTGGAACCAATCATCGGCGGAGGAGCGGGTGGTGTGATTTTCATTATCATGTTCTTTGTTGCTCTTTTCGCGATAAAAAGGTAAGGTTTAAACCCTAAAAGGGCCGGGGCGGAATCCGCCCGCCCCCCCCCCCCCTCAACTTTTTCCGCGATAGCCTTAAAAAAAAAATTCGCGACCCGAACTGTTATGACTTTTTAGCCTCGAGCTTTGCGCATCTTTTGATACCAAAAACATAAAAAATGGACCACGGGTTGCCACGTAGCGAAATATTTTCCGGCGCTACGCGCCGTGAAAACTGAATTTCCCATATACGTCGTGTACACAGAGCAGAATTATCATTCGTACAAAGAGTTTTCACTGTCAGTAAAATGTTTTTTTTTAACAGGTTTGTCTTTAACTACACGAAATGAAATAAATGTCCTCACGTAAACATGCGTTTGTTTAATGTGTAAATCGACGGAGGACACACACGTGCAACATCATCGGTAAATCGAGGACTGGAACCAAATCAAGGACGACCTCGATTAGAAATCGTGTACAAAACCAATGAGAGCTGTTGCGAAAAAAAATAGTACAAACAAAGGAAAAAGGAAGAGGAAAAGAAAAACCTCCATTTACACCATAAACAAACGCGTGTGAATGCATGTGTAAATTATATAGCTATTTGGCCTATAGTTTTATTATTTTGTTTTCGAGTTATATTAGATTTTCATTGCATTTCCGCCAACACCGGAAGTGAGGGTCAAGCGGTTTTTTTTTTTACCCAGGAATAACAAGTGTCACTCAAGGCACCGTCTACCACCACACGAAAACGAACGCGACCCTCAACTATTTCCCATAAATCACTGATTTGATACGTAATGACAACTTGATGACGTCAAACAATTGTGTATCTTTGTACCAGGGACCAGGTTCATGTCAGGTTTAATTATCACCCCGACAACTGTTTGGAAGAATTTTTTTATTTTGATTTGAGTCTCATTTTTATATTTTAACTCACCAAACTTGGACCTTCCGGTAGTCCCAGGGAAAAAAAGTCAGGCGTCTTTGACTTTGGTAATCCGAAATATTTATCAAGACATAGTCTATCAAGTCACAAGGTATGAACGTGACCATACCTTTAGTTCTTGAGGCATAAATGAGAGAAAATTGATATATTTTGAACCAAAATCGCTCGTTGTTTGATACCTGATGACGTCATCTGGCAAATTGCACCACTGGGGATCATGGTCGACATATGTTCAAAGTTACAAGTTAATACCATTAACTGTTTACAAGAAAACCCGCGGAGAGTAATTGTCCGGGAACAAGAAGAAGAAAGATTAATTGTTATTTTTCAATCGAATTAAACACAGTTCATTAATGGAACATTTTTTTTATTGAACCACGATGATTCTCTTGGCTTTCGTGCAACACTCCATTAACCCTAAATGGGCCGGGGCGGAATCTGCCCTTCCCTTGAACACTTTCCGCAATAGCCTCTAAATAAAAAAATTCGCGACCCAAGCTGTTATGACTTTGTAGCCGCGAGCTTTGCGCATCTTTTGATACCAAAAACATAAAAATCGAACCACGGGTTGCCGCGTAGCGACAAAATTTCCGGCGCTACGCGCCGTGAAAACTGAATTTTCGCAAATACGTCGTGTGCACAGAGCAGAATAATTAATTAGCCATAGTTCCAAAACCCTTTGACCTATAGTCATGACATTTCTTGGGTATGTTAAGGAAGAGTTGCTCTATGCATGTACTGAGTTTCAATTTTTTTGTCGCTCGATGGCCGAGATCTGCTTTCGTGTTTTCTGATCGCAGCATTTTATTTACATTAAAATATATTAATTTGGTGCAGCCAAGTTGACACCACGGGCGATTTGTCTTGAACAGTGTTGCTTTGACGACTGAACTGAATTTATTTCCTGTTAGCAGGCGAACAGCACGGAACCATCCCGTTCAGAACAGACGCGATGCTACCGTGCTCAGTTGTACCGTTTCTGGAGGGGGCGCCCTACCCTCATCGGAGCTGGCATACCAGGAAACAATCCTCGACGATGCCATTATTAACAGCTACGCTGATTTGCCACGTCGTAATGCTCCTCTTCCGCCGATTCCTGACAAAACCCCGACTAAGGAGGCATGCGAGACATATTGCAACGTGCAATACTGATCCGGTGTAGTCTTTGTATGTATTGGTGATAAAATACAATATTCTAGTGATTAAAAGAATTTTAAAAAGAAAACTCGATTGCAATGATTTAAAACCTGAAATACTGGAAATTAGTAAAAATAAAAAAAAGTTACGAGCGGGGAAACGAAGGTATTACTCGGACAGGAATCGTCGCCTATGACTTGTTTTTGTAAAAGTTTTTTGACATTTGTCGGCCACCGACCAAAATCAGTGTGGAGAAACATAAAAAAGAGACGCCGAATGTTGAATGCTTAATGGCGGATCCCGGTATAATGTTCAAGGAGAATCGATGGAATCAGCCACTTAATAATTAAATAACAATTCCCACAAAAGTAAGAGGTAACTCTTATCACTGATTGTAAAAATGCAACAACGGCGGTACATTGTGCATGTGATGCAAATATTAAATAATTTAAAATATAATCTAACCTCACTTATATCGTGAAGGGGAATGAGGGTGATATAATTTTGTCGACATTTTAAAGTGATTTTCTCAGTGCCCTGGAAAATCTGTAGCATTCCCTTCGAAAGGACCGGTAGGCCTCTATAGCGTCACTTAGAAACTTGGTACTTAATACTGAGTGTCTAAGCTGGAACGATCTCTGTCACAATTTATGAAACTCGTTTCCATGGTGTCGAGCAATACGCTCCCACCACTACCATTTCAATAACCCTGATATTGGATCATTGGCATGTTCAAACATCTTGCAAATACGTGTATGCAAATTAGAACTAAGCTGGTGCCTGGCTATGCTTTAAATCAGCGTTTATTTTTTTGTGCAGTTTCCGGGGTAGAAACAGAATAAAATCGTCGCGACGTGGGATCCGAAAACACAATTTGTTTTTTGTCACAGTCCTATCCAGCCAGTACATGCAGTATCACATTACATACTACTACAAGCAAAATACTAGAGGAATGCCACAGTGAATGTTAAAATACGGCATACACATTGGAAATCAAAACACAAATAGGCAACAAGATTAATCCATTACCTGCTATTGCTGTATCGAATCAGCATACAGGAAGCAAGTTCCCAAACCAGGGGTTACTATTGGAAACGAGGTTTATAATAAATATCCCGTGGGATGAGTTTGTGTCACATTGTAATTATATTAGATAAGGACTTAATCGGTAAACCAAATAAGTGTTTTATCATGGGCTTGGATGCTGTAATTTCATTGGTCTAAGACGGCCACGTGTCTGGTAAATAAAAATGCATGTCTCACCCTGAGGGTGATATCGCACTGCGTTCATTGCGCGCTTTGGGCAATGAGAACTGCAACGTCAAACGCTTAGTCTCGTGTCCAGCAGGACATCAAAACCTACAGTTATCAAAGGCTACATCGCAGTGCTTTAATCTATTTTTCACACAGTAAGTTACAAACACTTGTCATTTTAAGTTGTTGGCACGATAAACAAAATAATTTTGGTGTTTTGTTTTATATGACATTTTTTAACCCCCTCGGACGAATAGCTTCACTTTGGGTGTTCTGCGCCCCTCGGGTGTTAAAAACGTAATATCCCACGTCACACTAGTCAGTTGTATGTATGCATTTTTTTTTCGAAATATAACTAATTGCAGATAGAGTCGGCGTACCAGACGTGACACGGTTCAATTCAGTTTAATTCAATTTTTGTTTATTATTTTATTGACACCACCACCAAAAAACGCATTAAAACAAACCTAGATTACCAGCACTAAGCCTAAACAACTGTTACCATACGAACATTATTATAGCATAGGGACAGTTCAAATACACATTGAAATGAATGACCAGATGAAGATCAATTATTGAATGAGGAGTCACAATGACAATTATTTGGATTATTTTCTGTGTCATTTAGACCCGGACAAATGTCATAATAAAGGTAGCGTCCATCAGTTGTAATTGTTCGTTTTGAGCAACAAAATGAAAGTGCTCAAAATTTAAAGAATGGTGCTGAACAACCAACCTGATTAAGTTTCAGCTCAGTGAGTGCTGTACATTTCGAGAGAAAAAAAACAATATTCTAGGATCTCGATTTCAAATCAAAAGTTTCGAGTCATGTTTTGAATTGGGCCTGAACTCAGTGTCCGAGACACGTTTTCACTGAGCCGATTGCAGCTTTATGCGATGTCGCGCACTGAACCGCGCGTCTGTGCATCGTGTCAACGCAACTACTAACGGACATTTCCAACGATGCGTCTTTAGACGCATCGTTGGAAAGGCCTTCTTTTATGTATTTCTTCTAAACGGCAGCATTTTAGAAGGAATAATTTCACAGGGAGTTTAGTTCCCTTACTGTCTTTAAACCAAGTAAGCTTTTCAATAATATTTACGTCAGCTACTTGTTGGATAGCTGCAAATGATGGACTGTACCTTTAACCATGATTTGCTGGGGTGAATGTTCCAACGTGCCTTAAAATGCATAGTGAATGTGCATAAAAGGTAGCTCTTGTTTTGTACGTAAAACAAATCAGTGGTTGCTTTTAAATTAATGTCATCCAGTTTCACTGTCCACAGTTGAAGGAGCAGTTCAGCAATATCGATGTATATAGAATACTTTATTGATGCTAAGTACTTCAAATGTTACTAGTAAATGAACTGAGAATAGATAATCCTTAACGCCACATGATTCCAATGATTATTTGTTACTTTATGTATTATTAATTAATGACGAACCATAAGGGGAAGTAATTGCTTTTACTATACTCTTAGCATTTGCTAAAATCTAGAGTATTGATTTTGCACTCTTTCAGCATTTGCTGGACGATTGCCTAACTTCGTGTACTACCTGATAGTGTAGTAAATGTTACTACATTATCAGTCATGTTACTACACTATCAGTCATGTTTTGTCACATTATCGGGAGGAACGATAATGTAACAACAATTGATTGATAGTGTACTTTCTACTACACTATCGGTCAATTTGTTTTACGTTATCGGTTAGTGATTTATTAGTTGGTCAATTCGTCACCAACACCACGAACTGACACCATCTGCATAACATGGAGATTTTATTTTTTACCGATATTAGCAGTTTGTATCATGAAGTTTAACAGGACGAAGTTAAAATTGCTAAAATCATCTAAAATAAGCAAATTTTAATAATGAATTTTCAAGAAATTGGTCAATTCTTGTTTTTTTTGTTACTACGAAGTGACTCTGCACAGGGTGTCAGTTCGTGAAAACCAAAATTTGCGTGTTTTCGGAGAGTGCGCGCATGCAATAGCGTTAGAGAGTGTCAGTTCGTGAAAACGAATATTTACGTGCTTTTGGAGAGTGCGCGCACGCATGCGCAGTGTGTGCGCGCACTCTCCCAAAACACGTCTCCGATTTGTATTTCTGCAACGCTGACCACCGGGTGTCAGTTCGTGGTGTCGGTGACGAATTGTTAGTTGGTGATACGTTGGCCGTTGGTTGTTAAAGTTGTTACAGAGATCAGTTAAGGCCAAATCGAAGATGAAAACATATTGCTTGATTCGGAGTCTTTTAGTTTTTAGTTCCAGCAAACACTGCAATCACAAGGAGATTCGCGACTATGGCTACTGCACAGCAAACGGTCATGGAACATTTTCGTCGCAGTCATAAAACTTTGAGCCATGAGGTAATCTGTGTTTTTGAAATAAGAATAAGTTGGCTACGAAATTGGCTACGTTGTTAGAAATTGTGCACGTGAAAAGAAGCCAACTTACACCGCTTAAATGTGTAAGAGGTTGGATTTCTCTACCTTTATCTCGGTATCTGTATGGAAATAATATTATTGTCTTGATTTAAGTGGCGAATGTTGAGTAGATTCTTACACAGTGATTAAAGAGTTGTTTTAAACAGTATTTTCAATAATATTATAAACATATTTTGTCCTACTGCAAGATGTAAACGGCGTTACTAGCGTTTGTCTGTAGGCCTTCCATTCAGTTTTTACTTCAGAAACTCCGACGAGTGTTGCACAAGATATGTGAGGATTGAGCAGCTGCACATGTAGAAATTATATAAAAACCGTTGCTGTATGCGATCCCATAATAAATCTATGTTATCGATGTATGAGAACAGCATTTTGTAACATTATTCATTAAAACAAGCAATTAATTAGAGTTTTATGTAAATCTTCATCCGCATATTTAGGAACAAACCCTTACAATACCTCCTCTAATCGTATTAATTAGTATGATAATAACATGGAATTCCGGCAATTTGCATTGGTAATGTTGTACTATCTCTCTGGCGCATTTTAAAAACAAAGCAGACTTTACGATGACCTCAACCGGTATTCTCAGGTTGGGATATGTGCATTATCAAAAAATGAAAGCACAGATGTCTCAAATTAAAGGGTAAGTGATGTACTTACCCAAATTGTCGAAAAGAAAAACATTATACACTTCCAGATCACCTTTAATTTGTGGCAATAACACACGCTAAACCTCTTTGCCAGACCTCATTTGAGTTCAATATCTTTTAAGTAAAATTATGTCGCAAAGTTAAGATTTGATTTGTTTTGGGTAAAGAAAAAATGTATTACCGAATATGTATTTATTTCAAATATACGGTTTCACATTTGATTTTCAGATACACAGAAATAAAACCACCTTGTAAACAGGAAGTCTTTCTTGTTATAGTTAATACTTGAGTTTTTAAGAGATTGACTAAAATCTGTACTTTTCCCTGACATTTTTCACATCTAATTACGAAATGTGTTTTTTTTTTCGGCCCAGTTGCAAACAAATCTAGGTTTATCTAACAGTTGCTATGTAGGCTTAATCGCTGGCTGATAACGAACGAAAGCGAGTTTCCATCCATAGGGGATACTATTGGAAGCAGGGTTGAAAATAAAATAACCACTTGGGATGATGTTGTTTCACAATATATTAATGATTAGATCAGGACATAGTCGGTGAAGTAATAACAGTTCTATCACATTATGGGTTTTCGCCTTGAAAAGAATATAACTCATTGCATGGACAGTCAGCGTACCGGACGTGAAACAGTTTAATTCAG